CTGAGAGAAATGTTGTTGTTTTTTGTAGACAATTTATAAAAGACTGTCCAAGAACATTTTGCAATTAAGTAACAAGTGTTCTATTCCAGAAATAAATTAGTTTTTTTTTTATCTAATGAATTGAGTGGGAAGTGTGGTTGATTTAAGTACTACAGATAAAAAATGTCTTTCCTTATGGGAGATTTTTTATCAATAATTGTGTACTTTTCAAAAGGAAGTGTTATTATTCATTAAACATTTTTCGGAAAATTCTTATTTTTTATTTAAGCAAATATGCAATGGCATCTATTTTTGGAATGACAGTCACACTGTTTCTCTGATTTTTAATGAAATTTGCAGTGTATCCATGATTAGTCGCACTCATAGTTTCTATGATTTTGAATGAATCTTGCAGTGTATCCATGATTTTTAATGGCCATGGGCAGTTATTTCAAATAATTTTGCTGTATCTATGGTTTCCTAGCAGCTAAGCTAACTCTTCATAACTTCCATGGTTCAAAAATTTGAAAAATGTTGTTTTAAAAGATTTTTTTCAATGTTTCCATGGTTTAGAATTATTTGGCTATAGAAACATTGTTATATGATACTGCTAGGGTTGACCACAAAACTCCTGTAACTTATATGAAATAAAGAAGGACTTACAACAGTTTTGCGATCAACCCTCAAATTTTGTATAGTATCCCTTTACTAGTTAAATTTGTGTAATGGATTTGCCCATTTATGAATTTGGAACAGTCCATTCAAAGTTTAAGGGATTTTAGTATTTGAATACTAAAATTGAGCTGCCAACATCTGCACTGTCTAATCAGCAGGCTTTATATTGGTGGGAAAGGTTAAGTTATAGAAAGAGCATCGAAACACGAGGCTATCTGATTTGTACGAGAGGGGGCGTAGCCACCGAGTATTAATCAGATTGCCGAGTGTTTTGATGTTCTTTCTCTTTTGTATCATAGTCAAACATAAAAACACGTTCCCTGTTGTCACAATATGAAACCCCGGCAAAAAGGAACCAATGAATTAATGAACATCTGAACATGGTATTTCTGTCGCTTTCCCTTTCTCTGCCATCACAATATGTAAACCCCAGCAAAAATGAGCCAATCAATGGGCATGCTCTGGAGTGCGAGTAACTTAAATACCTGCACTCCAGTTAATGCACTGTGCAGGTATATGTATACGATTTAACTCTGACACATTTTCAACAGAAAGGTCCCCAAACTATGATACAATCTGCTTTTGTTTCAGCCTTTATTTGCCTCAAGTTGAAATATTTGACTCAAATAGAGAAGAGCTTGCATTGTGTTACTCACCCTGATGTATTGATTATTCTCTAGCAAACTTAAGCTTAATGGCACTAAATATCATAAATGGACTCGTCCGTCTTTCAGTCTGGACAAAACCATTCATCATTTGTAGGGAAATTTTTAAAATATGTATATATTTAATTAACAAACAGTGCAGACTGCCGACAATGATCAGACGGCACTGATCTTGCCGTCAGCACTTGTAGCATGGCTAGATGCAAATGAAGAGTTTATAAGGGCTCATTTGTCTAGTTAGAGCAGTTTGATAAAAGATAATGTGACCTAGTTTAGTGTAAAGTTTGATTGGTTTTCAATAGTTATTTTCTGTTTGACTATTTGAAGAATAAGGAAAGCTTTTGTACTCGCCCAATTGTTGGCATTTATAGTCACATGCAATTTGGTAAAAAAAAATTGTGCATGTACCTACTGAAGGGAGTCTTTTGAAACTTAGAGTATAATAGGAGGTGGCTGTCCAAGGCCCAAAATTCGAGCACACTGTTCTACCAACAGCTATTGTTATGTTTTTCAATATGTTTACAAATTCCATCCAATGCCACATCACACATGCATAGCACATTTTGTAGAAGTGAATATTCATGAACTGACTCAATATGTGCATACTGACTCATGCTAGTGTTCAGAAAAGAAAAAAAATATCCCGGGGAAAAATTGTATGGCCTTTGTAAAGACTTAAGGAGAAAAGAAGCATTTTAATTAAGGCTAAGGCACTTAGGTGTTACCAAATGATTTACCACCCCCCCATACTCCCTGCCGCCCGCTCCATTCCCCAAAATCTACTCCTCAAATATATCTTTGATTCCCAAGTTTTAGGAATTCTGTTATTGTTTTCTTAAAGCATGAGACGGTAAAAAAGGTCACAAACAACATAATTTATAAATTGTTATGCCCATTTTAAATTACATGTACTTGTGAGTACACTGGTATTGCTGTTGTCAACTGGCAAGAAATTTTAGTGCTTTATGTTTAATGCTAATTCTGAAAAACTTGCCCCTCACTGCTGAAAATTTAAAATCCCCATCCCCAGGGACTTCATAGATGTGAGGAAGTCTCTACAAAGCAAGGTTATGGAATTAAGTCGATGATAAATCAACTGGGGTACCCAGTTGTGAATAAGATAATTCTTGGAGCGAATTCTAAAGTGTTCCTCCGCCATTAAAAACCAAAAGAAAATTTACTGTTACTAGAATAATAGCATAATGTCAGATACGTGATGAATACGTCTGACACATTGCCATCGGGTTGTCCGAACATCTTTCTTGATTTAACATTTAGGTGACGAAATCCGCCAGATCAATGTTACATTGTCTTAAGTCAAGACACAACTTTGTTGGGATTAATAATTGAAACTACACATGTTTCAGTGGAAAAAATGTGGAAATTTTTATTGGCTGTTGTCAGACTGTTTTCATGCCAGAAATAAGTAATGACCCAAGATGCCAATCAGTAATTTGGCAGTAAATGTTAAATTAGCAGTTTGTTATTGAGGCCTATATTTTTGTAACATTTCACAATGTTTCATGCAATTTTATATGCACATTTAGTTGTGTAGATCTTGGTTTGTTGCAATGCTGACATTGTTCAATGTTGACTTACTAGTTTTGTTCATTGACGGTTCACTATTTTGTAATGCAGACATTCTTCCTTGAAATGTTGACAATGTTCCGTGCAATATAGGCAATTTTTTATACATTGACAGGTCGCTATATTGTAATGCGGACATTGGTTTGTGCAATGTTGGCATTGTTCTGTGCTATGTTGATATTGTTTTATACACAGACAGCTCACTATTTTGTAATGTGGACATTGCTTTTACCATGGTGACATTTTTCTGTGCATTGTTGACATAGTTTTGTCATTATTTAGCTCATTATTTAGTAATACTTCTATCATTTTCTTAAAAAGTTTACATTGTTTTTTTTGCCATAGAGACATTGACTTGCTTGAGGCACAGTCTTTCTGGGACAGTTTGCCCGTATTCAAGAAAGTGGAACACTGCAAAAAAAAAAATGTTCCTTGCATTCACATCTGTAGAAGCACAAGGACACATTCAATAAGTTCCAGGGATTCTGCAGATGTTAATGCTAATGAAAAAGGTGCATTAGCACTATACTTGTAGAAACTATATTCATTTATTTTGGTATTTCCAGGTTTTGTTATTAGTATTTCCTGTAAAATAACTATTGTTTGTGCCATGCTTTCCATGTGCTACATTGTTCGATGTCATTTGACAGTTACATTTCGTTTATAAAACTACCGGGGCCTGTCACCTGGGCTTTACATTGTGTTCTGAGTCACTAATATAAATAAACTTGCAACAACGGTGCATGGTCACAAGAATTTATCAATTAATGTATGTTTTCTACTGCTTTAATGTAAACCTGTGTGCAATGTTTTTAGCTCGACTATACGAAGTATATGGAGAGCTGTCCTATTCGCCCCGGCGTCGGCGTCCGCATCCGCGTCCAGATTTTAGATTAAAGTTTTGGTGCAGTAAAATATTTTTCACTATAACTTTGTCATTTCTTAAGGTATCAACTTCAAACTTCAAATATATGTTCCTTATCATCAACCACATCATATGTGACAAGGTTCATAACTCTAGCACCAATATTTTCAGATTTATCTCCCCTTGAACTTAGAATTTTCCTTAAAAAATACTATTTTTTACTGTTACTTCCTTATTTCTTAAGGGATCAACCTCATACTTCAAATATATGTACCTTATCATCATCCCCATCTTATGTGACAAGGTTCATAACTCTAGCACCAATAGTTTCAGATTTATCTCCCCTTGAACTTAGAATTTTCCTCAAAAAGTACTATTTCTTACTGTTTCTTCTTTATTTCTTAAGGGATCAACCTCATACTTTAAATGTATTTACGTTATCATCATCCCCATCTTATCTGACAAGGTTCATAACTCTAGCACCAATATTTTCAGATTAATCTCCCTTTGAACTTAGAATTTTCCATAAAAATATTTTTTTTTACTGTTATTTATTTATTTCTAAAGGGATCAACTTCATACTTCAAATATGTTCACGTTATCATCATCCACATCTTATGTGACAAGGTTCATAACTCTAGCACCAATATTGCAAGAATTATCTCCCCATAAACTTAGATTTTTTTACTAGAAAAATGTTATTTTTTATTATAACTTTTTTATTTTTAAAGGTATCTACCTCAAATTTCAAATACTTATTCCTTATCAACAATTACATTTTATGTGACATTGTTCATAACTCTTTGATGCAATATTTACAGATTTATCTCTCTTTGAACTTAGGATTTTCTTTAAGAAACATAATAACTTTTTTTCTTTTTAAGGTATCTACTTCAAACTTCAAATATATATTTCTAATCATTACACAAATGTTGTGTGACAAGGTCCATAACTCTAGCATGACTATTTCTAGAATTATTCCCCTTGATCTTGGAATTTATGTTAACAAATATTATTTTTTTACTATAACTTAATACATAATTATACATAATTGATTTTTCTTTCATAGTTTTGTCCTCCTTACTGCGTCCAGTATTTTATTAGTCGAGCTTCGCTGTCTCCTGTGACAGCTCTTGTTATGCAAGCATTAAGTTTAAAGAATAAATTGTTACAGGTTTTTAGGCATATTAATTTCATATTATAAATCGTCATTTATTTTCTGCTTTTAGCCAAATGATCCTGAATTCGCCACCCAGAAAATGGTTTACAATGACATCGGTGTGGAGATGTTAAACCACGCCTTTGATGGTTACAATGTTTGCATATTTGCGTACGGGCAAACTGGAGCTGGTAAAAGTTACACTATGATGGGACGAAATGAGCCCGGACAAGAGGGAATTATACCCCAGGTAAATACTGAAAAATTAACATGAATAAGGTGTTTTGTATGTCGTCCTTACGACCTTCAAAGTAGAAATATTTGAGGAAAAGAATTATGTTTATGGTGTAGTAAGAAATTAAGTGTGGTTGAAAAGTATGCTTGAATCTTACAGTAATATTTTTTTTTCAGGATTATTTTGCCAGAAATTATTCAATGAATTTGTGACTGGAAATGAATTGTATATAAATAAAAATATATTAATTTATAAATAACTTCTTCTTATGAGGCAGTAAATTATGAGTAATTGCCTTAGAAACAGACTAATGAACATAATAAGAGTTACACGTTTCTAGTTTTAATCCAGATTTAAATAATTTGACAGTCTGAGAATGTCATTTTTCCCTTTAATAAGTAAGAGTTATCTTAAGAGCATATATTAAGAGTTATCCTTAAATATATGTATAAATCACTATTTCAGCATTTTGTTATCTGTTTTTCGTATAACCTAACCATTTATTGCACCAAGCTTTATATGCCCTGATTCGATGTCATTTAACTGTAATGTTTTGATGAAACATGGGCTGTCAGTGCATTAAGCTAGTTTGACATGGCACTCTGAGTCACTCATATAAGTATAATGGCTGCAATGGTCCTTTGATAAATTTGATTGAGAGTCATAGGGTAAAGACTTGGCTTGCCTTACTGGGTTGTCTCTTTAAATAAAGTATTATTAGTATTATTATATAATTATATCCCTTCTTGATATATAACCAATATTACACTCATCTTTGGTCGTGTTTCTTTAAAATATGAGTAATCGTACCTATTAGGGTCATGCATCTTTAATATATATGAGTTATCATACTTATTAAGGTCATGTATCTTTAATATATAAGATTTATCATACCTATGGAATTCTTGTTAAAGAGTTACCTTTATTTGTGCAAATAGAAAATGATTTAAATTTTTGCATTCACCAAGAGTAACATCCCTTGCATGATTATAAAGTCATGCATTATTGGTTTATTACAGTTGTGCCAGGACTTATTTGATCAGATCAGAAAAGCAGGTGATGATGTGAACTATTCTGTGGAGGTAAGATTCTATAACATATGAAGAATTAGGCCGCGCCATGTCAAAACCAACATAATGCGTTTGCGACCAACATGGATCCAGACCAGCCTGTGCATCTGCAACAAGTAGAGAAACTGATAGCGAACATCATGGATTCTGATGAAACTCTGCGCAGATGCGCTGGCTTGTCTTTATCCATACTGGTCGCAAACGCATTATGTTGGTTTTTGTCAAGGTGCGGCTCAATGATTGTAAAATGAATGCCTAACAGCAGAGAACGAAAATTCCACTCATTCTCTACTAATTATATTGTACAAGTAGAATTTAAGTCATTTCAATGCAGGACGAGTAGAAATATGTTGCCTGGACATTGAATTATATGTTCGCAGTCATTTGAGAGCAAATTGTGGGGATTTTTTCATTATGCATGAAAGTTAATTTTCCAACAGCATTCCAATCTATCCATCTAATCTGTAGCTGACTTTAGAGTTGGCAGGCTTTACATATTATATATACAGATTAATTAAAAGATTATATAGAATTTATATTACTGTCAGTGCTTTTCAGTTTTTATATGCTGACAACATGAATTACTTCCCTTTGTCCCTTGTGTATGAAGCCAGGCCAAAGTAGCAGCTTGGATTAGGGGATAAAAGACATCATACGAGTGATCTAAGGTTCGCAGGCTGCATGGGTTCGAACCCTGTCTAGGGCAAGCCATTGTTTCCTTGAACAAGGAACTTTTCCCTCAAGACAATCAAACTAAAGTGTGTATTACTCTTTTATCTTGAACTTACATTGGTTGATTAAAATAAATAATTAATAAACTAAAGCCAGACCAGTACCGCCTCTGTGGTCGAGGGGTTAGAGTCGATTACTTCTAATCCAGTTACCTCTCTGGCGTGGGTTCGATCCCCGGGAGATGCTTTGGTAGTTTAGCACGGAGGAAGGTAGTCTAGTACTGGTGTAACTCTCCAGGAATGATGGTTAGGAAACTACCCACCTATATGACTGAAATACTGTTGGGAAAAGGCGTAAAATGAAACAAACAAACAAAAGCTCAGAAATCATTGCACTCTGACCAGATATTATACACAGTGTCGTCTGCTTAATTTTTTACAGATATCCCTAAAATCATTAATGGACTGTTTTAAATTTAATGCTGGACATGTCCATTGTACAAATGCAGCAGAGTAAGGGTATTATTTCAAACTGCATAATTATTATATATATTGTGATGAAGACTTTGATACATTCAGACCATTATATTATAACATGATATGATATAGCTAGAGGTATTTTAAATCACAGGCTTGTCAATATAAATCATATCTTTTTCCATATGTGGGTATATTTTGCAGGGAAAAAAAGCACATTTTGATATTAGATTTCTAGGGAAATTTCTTACATTGGTCATAATTATATTTTGATTGTCGTGAAAATCATCACATTTTATGTGCAGATATATTTTGCAAAAAAAAAATTCATTTTGATATTAGACTTCTAGGGAAATTTTCTTGCTTCTGACAAAATGTTATATTTTGCCTGTTGTGAAAATCATCACGCTTTTTCCTCATATGTGGTTATGATTCACAGCAAAATAACATTTTGATATTGGACTCTGGGGAAAGTTCTTGCATTGGTCATATATTAATCTGTATCAGGATGTATTATTCCCAGCTGATGTCTGGGCTTTATGGAAATTCCAATTGCTCATTTCTGTTTTGACAATTTGGTGTAATGGATGAGCAGTAAAATCCTGTCTTTTATTTTTGAGTAATTAGATGCTATATGAGTAGGTGGACATGTTAACAGGATACGGTGTACTGACCCTTCTTTTGTTGTACTTGTTTTTGATTGATTAGCGCCAGAAACTGTAAATTTAAAGGTCATACAATAATTATGTACACTGTCCTTTTTTGTTGTATTTGATTTTGATTAAATATCACCAAAACTGTAAAGTGTTTGTTAAATACTGCATACCTACCTGTTTTATTGCATTTGATATTGATTGAATAGCACCGAAACTGTATAAAGGTCATATTGATGCATAGTTCCGTGTATTTTGGTATATTTGAGCTGCAAATAAAATTTTTATTATTATTAAGTGATAAGCATAGTGCAGTCTGACATGGCTCTAAATTGTTGGCTGACTAACTCTAAATTTTCATCTTGAATTCTTGATATTTCCAAAAATGATGATAAATTGTTAAAAAGAAATGGAAGTTGCCCATTCCATTTTCGAAATTCAACTGGTTAAGGGTAAAGAAGTTAATCATAGTGTATGCAAACTGATTTTCTATGGATATTCATAAAATTGAAGCTCTGAATACAATGGTGTTGTATGGTACTACAAAATAATTGAGCTAATAAATTCTCTAAGGACTATTTTGCAGTCGTAAGGTTACAGCTTTACACAGCAGCACTTTGGTGCACATGCATGAAAGTAGTTCTCAACGGTTGTTCTAAATAACAAAGACCTATAAGAGATTAACTTTTAATTTGCGTAATAATATAAGAAAGTATTATGTAAGAATTGACATTTAGTGTATTAAATTAGGTCAGGGAATATGTTGTCTAGCTAGCCTTTGATTCATTATTTATTGTGGTCGGCACTTCCAGTACTTAATTAAATTTGGTAGACTGATAAATGTTTTGTGGTAGATGTTTGATGAAAATACAAGGGGAGGAGTTTGCTCTGAGATGAAATGTATTTGCTACTCAGTAATAAGTTAGGTGAGAAGTCTTATGAAATGTTGGTGGTTCTACTCTGAGGTGCCGTTTTACACCTGAAATAATGCACAGACGGTCTTAAGGTCTTCCTTTACCATTAAAGATTGAAAGTAGGCATATGATCTTTAAATGTGGTGTTGATTTACATATACATTGGTAAAGTTACATTAGTATCCATACACTGGTCATTGTTGCTCCTTTACTTTGGTTAGGAGACTTTGGGTTGATTTGTGTTGATTTCGTATCAGTACTCTCATTACTGGAGGCTATATTTGTCTCTGTAGACTGTTTAATCTCTAATTCATCAATAAATCAAGTTCATTTGTGGTGGCCACAGACTAATGATGATAGGGGGAAAAAGTTAGGTTCCGTTTGAGATGTGTCCAAGCTCAGGTTATATGGTGTGTCAAATAATTATGTTTGTACAGACACATTTGCGTTTGTACAGACAAATTAAGATTCTGAAATGGAGGTATAGGGAGAAAGATGAAATTTGTCTGTTACGAAAGTAAGAAAAAAATGACTTGGATACTATTGCATCTAATATTTTATGGTTTCAGAAATAAAAGTTCCATATAATGAATCAAAATCAAAATCTATGAAAATAATAAATTATTTAAAACCTTAAAACAGTTTGATTCCTGAGTGTGTTAAGTGTAGAATATGACTGGAAAAGTTTAGATATTTATACAGTCAGACCCTGTGTTAAAAACCACCTCTGAATAATACAGATCACTCTGCAAATATAGGCCTCTCTTTGATAATCCTTTACTGATTTAATGCAGTCGGGGGGGAAACGCCTGAAAGACAATTGTTCTACAGAAAACTGCGCTTAAAATGATATCGCTTATTAATGTCATATACCTCTTATAACAATTCTGTTGCCGTGATCCTGACTCTGTCCTTCGGTAACTGTCTTGTAACAATATTGGATACAGTGATTAAGTTAACTCCTGATATAATGAAGTGTTTTTCTGTCCTGCAATCTTTCACTTTTAAAGCAGCACGCCTCCAGATTCATGCTAATTTTCAAGAAAATTTTGAAAATGTATTTTGAATGTATAACATTGTGAGGTAACCAAAAGGAAGCCATTTGCACATTATCAATGGCACTTACAAGCCATGTAAATTAGGAAAAAGTAGTCAAAATATGCATAAATAGCCCTTACTGTGTTAGTAACACAGTAGAAATATAGTTGTAAATACTAAAAAATCAGTCATTAACCGCACATAACATGTAAAATATTACTTGAATCTTGAACCATTTTACGTTTCCTAAAATTGTAGTACATATTTCTCAAGTTTGATTGTATTGATAAATTTTGACTCATCTGGAGGCATGCAGCTTTAAATATTTTGTACCTTGAAAGGTGTTAAGGACGGTTAATGACCGACAAGTCAGAGATTTAGCTTTTAGCGTTAATGACCGTCAATCAAATTATTACAATAAACTGCTCAAATTATCTGGCAATAGGCGAACTAAATCACTTTGGGTTGAGTTATAACTTCCTGTTTACATGATCATGCATTTGTGATGGCTTGGATGTAGAAATGAAATATCAAATTATATGCCAATTGACACTGCTTTGACACCATTGTGGTTTTAAAATGTTTGATGTTAATTGATAAATAAGAAAAAATAGCAAACATTATCATTCTATTAAAATGAAATTATATTATTATAAACTTGTTTCTTTGCCATATAGTCATAACTTACATAGTTGGATTTGATTGAAGTTACAATATTATAATCAACTCGGAACTATTCTTTTAAATGTTTTCTTTATAAAAATTGTCTATCAAGCATTTTATTGCCCTGTTCTCAAAGTTGACTCTCCGATTTTATAAGGATATTAGTTTGACAGTCCACTGAATATCATTATAAGCAGTGTTAACTGTATTTTGTTTGACAATGCTTCAATAAGAAAAGTTGTTTTAAATGAAAAAAAAAAAAAATAAATAAAGAAATAAAGAAAAACATGGCTGGTATAACAATTCAATCATACATGAGTAAAAAGGGGATGGGAAAACAGCCCTTACAAATACCATTTACTGTATGTTATTGTTTTTGTATTTTTGTTGTCACTCCAACACTTTAAAAGGCCACATATGGGCGAGGTTTGAGCTTTACTCAGGCGGAGGAAGGGCTTTTGTGCCCCTCTGTGCATTATTTCAGAAGCAAGCTCTAAGACTATTTAAACTACTATACTTTTATAAGGTTTATAAATGATTAAATGATATTTGAAATACAAAATTGTTGCAAAATTTGATTGAAGATTATTCTGAACGCCCACAAACTATTGACTGTCTGTAAAGATAAGATGTCTTCGGTAAAATGTTCTTGTTTCCAATAACTCACTTATTTCTCATGCGCTGAGTGAATAACACTAAGTGTAGGTGAAAGCAATGCAAAAAAATTATAGTATACTATACAAAAGTATTAAGGCTGGGCAACAAGTTCTTTCAACACGGAATTATGTGCTTTGCATACATGCAATGTACACATTTATACATACAGGCCCTTTAGTCCTCCTCACTTAAGTGTTCTGTAAGGTCTTTAAGTTATTGCCACAGTTAATAGTATACTTCATTAGGCATTGAAGCCATTTCCTCTTTTATATAAAACCAGGCCTTTAAGTTCTTGAGCTCCCCACTTAAGTACTAATATACGGTACTTCAGGGCCTATGGTACTTAGGCCTTTAAGTCATAATGGCCACTTAGATTAGTATAAATCCATGCCCTTAAGTTTAAGTTCTCCCCACTTAAGTTCAAATATACAATACTTAGGGCCTTTACGTCATTGCCACTTTAGTATAAATCCATGCCGTTAAGTCCTTTCCATTTAAGTACATGTACTAGTATACTTCAAGGCCTTTAAGAAATTTCCAATTAAGTATACATTTAGGGCATTAAATTCCCTATTTCAGTAACCTTCTGCCATTGCCTTTTATGTACACATCAAGGCCCTTAGATATTTTCCCAATTACGAAATTTAACAGGTTTATGGTTTAATGTACATTCCATATGTTATTTATTGGAAAAGAAAACTGATGAAAGTAAATCAGCTTCTAACAAGTCCATAAATAATGTTCTTTGATAATGCTTTATTTCCTGCTTAATAGGTTCTGTAGGAGATAATAGCAAAATGCTCTAATGAGTTTCTTTAATGAGGTCTTTTACAATATTCTTTGGGGAAAAGGGGGTATAGCGGAAATAATGTCTTTTGGGAGAAGGGGGTATAGGGGAAATTAGGTCTTTTACAATATTCTTTGAAAAAGGGGGTATAGGGTAATAATGTCTTTTGGGAGAAGTGGGAAATGAGGTCTTTTATAATATTCATTGAGGAGAAGAGGGTATAATGGGAAATGAGGTCTTTTATAATATTCATTGAGAAGAAGTGGGTATAATGGGAAATGAGGTCTTTTATAATATTCATTGAGAAGAAGAGGGTATAATGGGAAATGAGGTCTTTTATAATATTCATTGAGGAGAAGAGGGTATAATGGGAAATGAGGTCTTTTATAATATTCATTGAGAAGAAGTGGGTATAATGGGAAATGAGGTCTTTTATAATATTCTTTGAGAAGAAGGGAGTATAGCGGAAATGAGAACTTTTTAAAATATTTTTTGGGGAGAAGGGGTATAGCAGAAATGAGGTCTTTTATTAAATTGTTTGGGGGAGAAGGAGGTATAGGGGTAATGAGGTTTTTTACAATATTCTTTGAGGAAAAGGGGGTATAGGGGTAATGAGGTTTTTATGATATTCTTTGAGGAAAAGGTGGTATAGGGGAAATGACTCGTCTCTTATAATATTCTTTTTGGAAAAGGGGGTATAGGGGAAATGAGGTCTTTTGTAATATTCTTTGAGGAGAAGGGGTATAGGGGAAATGAGGTCTTTTATAATATTCTTTGCGGATAAGGGGGTAAAGGGGAAATGAGGTCTTTTGTAATATTCTTTAGCTGAGGGAAATGGGGTATTTTACAAATGATATATGTAATATGCAAGAAAAAAAGTTAAACACTATAGTCAAGAAAGATCTCATTTCCATTATTAGATCAAAAATATTGCTATAGTACTCATGTATAGTACTTAATGTAAAATTAACTGAAAAGTAATTTCAACAGAAAAAGTGTTTAATAAATGAATCGGTGTATTAGATGTAAGTCACACACCAATTCAGTATTAATGTTACTGTCCATTTCTCTTTCTAAGCTTAAGAATTAGATGGGGAAAAATCAGGAATCTTTTATTTAACAGCAGTGAGACAAAAATTAATGTCTGTTTAACCATAATGTTGTAACAGAGTGTATTTTGGTTTGGTGTGATTAGATAGAAGACATTCTGTATTAGAAGATTTGTTTTATCACCAACTTCATTAGTCATGTTTCAATGATTTATATGTCTTTGCAATAAGATTTGTCCATCTTCCAATGTGGACTTAAGGCTAGCCTAGCGACAGTGTTTAATTGCACAAGAAATGACAAACTTGGCTACAGTGTAGAGTCAGGTAAAACTGCACAAGATGTACAGACTGGCCTGACTGCAGTGTAGAGTGTTGTAAAACTGCACAAGATGTACAGACTGGCCTGACTGCAGTGTAGAGTCTGGTAAAACTACACAAGATGTGCAGGCTGGTCTGACTTCAGTGTAGAGTCTGGTAAAACTACACAAGATGTACAGACTGGCCTTTGTACAGTGTAGAGTCTGGTTAAACTACACAAGATGTGCAGGCATGCCTGACTGCAATGTAGAGTCTGGTAAAACTACACAAGATGTACAGGCTGGCCTGTGTACAGTGTAGAGTCTGGTAAAACTACACAAGATGTGCAGGCTGGCCTGACTGCAGTGTAGAGTCTGGTAAAACTACACAACATGTACAGACTGGCCTTTGTACAGTGTAGAGTCTGGTAAAACTACACAAGATGTACAGGCTGGCCTGTGTACAGTGTAGAGTCTGGTAAAACTACACAACATGTACAGGCTGGCCTGACTGCAGTGTAGAGTCTGGTAAAACTACACAAGATGTACAGGCTGGCCTGACTGCAGTGTAGAGTCTGGTTAAACTACACAAGATGTACAGGCTGGCCTGACTGCAGTGTAGAGTCTGGTAAAACTACACAACATGTACAGGCTGGCCTGACTACAGTGTAGAGTCAGGTAAAACTACACAAGATGTACAGGCTGGCCTGACTGCAGTGTAGAGTCTGGTAAAACTACACAACATGTACAGGCTGGCCTGACTGCAGTGTAGAGTCTGGTAAAACTACACAAGATGTACAGGCTGGCCTGACTGCAGTGTAGAGTCTGGTTAAACTACACAAGATGTACAGGCTGGCCTGACTGCAGTGTAGAGTCTGGTTAAACTACACAAGATGTACAGGCTGGCCTGACTGCAGTGTAGAGTCTGGTAAAACTGTACAAGATGTACAGTCTGGCCTGGCTGCAGGGTAGAGTCTGGTAAAACTGCAGAAAAAGTGCAGGCTCCAGGCCTCAGGCTACAGTATAGAGTCTAGTTAAACAGTGAAAGATTTGTTGGCCTTACTGGTGAACTGGTTCCATCTGATGGTCAAAGCAAGTCATTGCTAATACATTTGGAGGGAAGGATTTTTTTCGAACATTGTTTTCTGTAATACGATGTAGGATAATCAGAATTTTGTAAACTCTGCATTTAGATAATCATATACAGTTACTGCATTATGAGAAAGATTCCCTAGATAATTTGTGAAATGCAAATCAGGTACTGGCATTACATATTGATTATGCTCTCAGGACGTCAATTTTTACTGTTGTTATAGAAACGCATTTTGAATATTACAGAGAGTTTGCAAGCATTCAGAATTGAATTAAATTTGTCCTTTTTCAAATTAGATTTTGTAAAGCTAAAATTGTCCTGGCAGACAAAACAATACAGGAAGATGGAATATAAATGAATTTTAAATTTGTACTTTTGATCAATACAGTAACTTTCTTTACCTTGCTACATGGCTCAATTTATACAATGTGAATCAGTGTATCAAAGTCCTTTAGAAAATAAAAAACAAAATGAACCATTTTACTTGATTACAAATTAGTTTCTTTTCAGGTTTTATGCCCCTTCTTTATTTAAAGTTTTTATGCCTCCTTTTTCTTTTCACCAATTTCTTTACAGTTTTTATACCCCAACTTTCTTTACAGCTTTTTTGCACCAAGTTTATTGCTTTAATATGCCCCCACTTTCTTTACAGTTTTTATGAACCCACTTTCTTTATTGTTCTTAATATCATCCTGGACAAAATCATTCATCATTTTAAGAGAAAATTTCAAGCTATGTACTGACAGAATAGTGAAGCGTGCAGACGATCGGACAGTGCTGTCTATGTCTGATGTTGTACGGATTGTGTGGGGTCTAAAATCCTTCATCACGGTATAGCTTGAAATTGAAATAATGCAAGATTGAACCTTTAAGCAATCTTTTCCATGATATTAAAAACACCATTCTTAATTCAGTGAGATATTGTTAAAGTTTAATTTTCTCACCACCTTTGTATGGTTTTTTTTGCAGGTGAGCTATTTTGAGATATACTGCGAGAGAGTTAGAGACCTGCTGAACCCAAGCAATAAAAACAGCCTTCGTGTGAGGGAACACCCGCTACTGGGACCGTACGTGGAGGATCTCTCCAAATTGGCTGTACAGTCATTTGATGATATTAACAATCTGATTGACGAAGGAAACAAAGCCAGGTAAGTTTTAGCATGACTATAGGAAGTAAAGGGACAGGTATTGCATTTGTGTCGCCCAGGTTATTTTTAGCATCATCAAATGACTATTTGAAGAAAAGGGACAGCTATTGTACTCACGTGGGTCTTGCCACCAACTCTTGGTTAACTTTTTGCGTACAAGTTGGTATCTCTAAAACTACTGAAGAGAATGGGTTTAAACTTCACACGTTGCATATCTTTGATTATAACATGATGGGCACAGGTCCAGTAACTCTGAGTCACCTTTTTTACAGAGTTATGCCCCTTGCCTTACTGTCAAGCACGGAGAATAGTCAAATGGGCTGGCCTGTCTTATGGATAGCTCTTGTTTTTTGTTTGTTTTTTTGTGTGCATGAAGTTTTTGGGATTGGGGGAGGCGGGGGTTGTCTAAAATTTTGTCTTTGCAGCTTTGTCCTTGCTTTTGTTATTCCATTGCAGGCCTTTTCCTAGTCATTTTGGGAAAAAGTACATAGTCCAGTTTTAGGGAAATTTATTTTGTAAAAATGCCTGATTGGGTAAAATATTTGGTTCCTGTTGAAACGGCATTTCAGGCTCTTTTGACTTGCGTGACATTGTTTATTTTAACCAGTGCAATGTCAACCAGAATGTGACAAGAAACAATAAAATTTGACAATCAAATCATCACCTTTAAGTGCAATAACTGGTTAACTCCTATTTTATTTTAAAGGATTTAACCTGTTACTGCAACAACCTGACAAAATGTGGGGAAACATCTGTCTGTTAAAAAAATGGAATCTATCAGTATCAGGAATTTCAGTTTCATTGGGAATTGTATTTAAAGATCCGGGAAAAAATGAGCATATTTGCCATTGGAAATGGGTCTGGTAATTAAATCCTTCTTATATTTTATTATATTATAAGAAATAGTTTGACTCAAATAATAAGTACGGGTGAAAATAAGTCAAATTAAGATTCCTTAGAATATCTGTAAAACATTGACAGCAAAAGGGAAAGATTTTACAATTTTTTTTTGTCAGTTAAGTGTGACGTAAGGAAGCATGACGCATTTTATTTTTTCTGGAGTAATTGAACTATGTCATGCACGTGTATGACTAATTGATAGATACTGCACTTAATTCACGCTGGATTATTTTGTTTTCTGTGTGAATACGCAGCTATTGATCATGTGACGTCATTCTGTTGATTGTTTACGAGCGTGACTGCAATCTTGTTAATGAATTGAGACTTTATCATTGAGGTGGGGGAAACACTAAATGCACGCATCACCAAGACGATATAATTGTTTAGTTAGAAGATAGTTTAATGTTGGGTTGGCAAGTGTATATGATACATCTGCAAATAATGTTTGATAGGCAAACTTCTTGTATTGTTTATTTTCCATAGGTGAATGATGTTCTGTTTTTTTAGTCTGCAAAAATTCTTGAATTTTATTTTCCAACTGAGGGGGAGGGGAAGTTACAGATTTGCACTTGTCAGTCAATCCCTCCATCCACCTGTTAGGTTGTCTGAAAACAGTGGAATGTTGGGGCATCCATGCTTTTTTCACGATGGAAGAAAGGGTCCACCTCTTTAATTTGGAAGAAAATATATTGTTTTTTGTGCCCCCACATTAGTGGCGGGCATTTAGATTTACCCTTGTCTGTCCGTCCGTCCGTCCTTCCTTCCGTCCGTCCGTCCTTCCGCCCGTCCGTTTCACAACTCAAAAAGTTACCTAGAGTCATGAAACTTTACAGGAATGTTGATCAGCATGTGTAATTGTGCACCTGGGTATTTTCGTCTGGATATTTTTAGTGTTTTCAGAGTTATTGCCCTTGACTTAGTAAAATATTGCAATTTTCAACTTGTGTCGCATGTAACTCAAAAAGTATTTGACCTAGAGTCATGAAACTTTACAGGAATGTTGATCAGCATGTGTAGATGTGCACATGGGTATTTTCGTCTGGATATTAATTGTATTTTTAGAGTTATTGCCCTTGACTTAGTAAAATTTTGCAATTTTCAACTTGTGTCACATGTAACTCAAAAAATATTTGACCTAGAGTCATGAAACTTTACAGGAATGTTGATCAGCATGTGTAGTTGTGCACCTTAGTATTTTCGTCTGGATTTTTTTAGTATTTTTAGAGTTATTGCCCTTGACTTAGTAAAAATTTTTCAATTTTCAACTTGTGTTACATGTAAATCAAAAAGTATATGACCTAGAGTCATGAAACTTTACAGGAATATTGATCAGCATGTGCAGTTGTGCACCAGGTATTTTCGTCTCGATTTAATTAGTATTTTTAGAGTTATTGCCCTTCATTTTTTTTTGCAATTTTCAACTTGTGTAGCAAGTTACTCAAAAAGGATTTGACATAGTCATTAAACCTTATGGGCAGGTTGCTCAACATATTTAGATTTGCACCTGGGGTTTCGCTTGTGGATTTATCCAGTATTTGTAGAGTTATTTCCCTTGACTTAGTAAAAAGATTGACAGAACAGTGGCGCGGTGGGGGCACCCGTGTCCTATGGACACACGCTAGTTTTTATGCGTTATTGAATTTTAGGGGAAAACTACACAATTTTAAAGAATTTTCTTGATGGGAAGCAGCCACTGCTATAGAAACTGAAAATAAAACATGGCAGCTTAAGTGTGTAAAATAATAATAATAATGATAATAAAGACTTTATTTAAAGAGGCAAGCCCTGTCTTCCCAATGAGCATGATAAAGAAAATTGAGTTACTCTTTTGACCATCATGACTATTTGTTCAAATCCAAGTGGAGTTATTGGCTGTTGGTTCAAATCCCAGTGGAGCCATTTGATTATAATAATTTATCATAATAATTCCACTTTGATAAGCATCCATTTGGCCTACTAAAAGTAACTAGGGCTCTTCTCAGATGGGACCTCTGAATGTAACTAGGGCTCTTCTCAGGTGGGACCTCATCCCTGAAACAGTGAACAGGGTGATCAACATTTTTCGATCTTTCTCCTTATCAATAGGGAGATTGTGACTTAACCCACTGAAATTTTTTTAATATAGTAAACTCTGCTTATAATAATATTCAGGCTTCTGCAAACTTTATGTCATTATATCGGGTTATAAAATTTTCAAAGAGTCCGGACCCGACTGGCAACATCAATGTTAAAAGTGGAGTTAAATGTACATTGAATGGGGAAAAAATTAATTGAAAATTTCATTCTACTTTCGTTGTTGCCACAGTAAATAAAGTATACCAGGATAATTATTTTGAAATTTGTTTTGTACAAACCTTGCCAGTGTAGCCTTAATTATAATATTTAGTGACATTAGCGTCTTTTCAATGCTGTTCACTATTATGTCATGGATGTTTCTGTTATGTTTAGAAGCCCCCCCCCCCCTTTAGCAAGGTTTAGGGCTCAACTGTCTGCCCATCCGAAACAGACAAAGGGCATTTAATGCCCCCTCTTATAAAAAAAGTGGGCAATTGTCTGAGTTCAGTCCATTTACCAGTTCAAAGAAGTTAATCCTTGATTAAATCATTACAAACACAAATGTAAAATTATTCATTGAAAAATTGAGTCTGATCAAGCTAATAGTGAAGCTAAATATAGAAATAATAAAAGATAAAAAAAAAGCTAATATTGAAGCTCATACATTTTTTATTTGTAGATCTGATAGTATAAAGTTGAAAACTAAAATCTGTCTATAAAGTAAAATTTAGCATGCACTTCAAAGTCATAGAAAAAATTAATATTTTGCAAGGTCTATAACTCTGGTGCCAGTTTTGCACTGATATCAATGATCGTCATTAAAATTTCAACAACTTTGATGTTATTTTGGGATCCTTCTATCTGAGGTTGAATTTCACGCAGGATAAATTTCCACTTCGCAAAGAGTTAGATTAGATGGAGTATTATCATCCTTTATTTGTATCTTGACATATCTTCCAAGTATTGGTCGATCACAAGTAATGGTGTATACAACACCTTTTGCACCAGGTCCTTCAAAAGTTCCACATGTTTCCTCAGTACCGTCTTCTTCGTCGCTTACAGTGATCACAAGATGGTGTAATCTTTCTCCGCAGCAATCACCACGATTCTTTATTACAACCCTCTTGATAGCATATGACCCGGCCAAATCCACTCTCCACCACGGATTTCTTTCCTTCATTGTGTGTGTGCATGAATCGGCGTAATAGTCCCCATTTTTATTTCCATCAACTGCCCTGGATGCATGACCATCTGCTGCGGTAGAACTTTGATCAGCATCCTTACCTTTAGCTAGATTTGAATTTGTAACCTGTATGATATGATGTACATTATCTTGAATGTTTTTGATTACATTTATAACATCCTTCATTTCATCTCTCCTTTCTCTGCCATGTTGATTCAGCTGATTTGTAAAATTCTGTATCAAACTGTCAAACTTTTCATCAGTGTGAGCGTTAATCTTTACTTCTTGATGCTTGAATTCTGTCTTCATTTCTCTTAAACAATTTTCATTGTTATCATTTAGATTTACAAGTGTTTGATTTAGTTCAGCATTGGAGTTTTGAACTTCTTTCATGAATTTCTCAATATTGTCACTATTGTTTTCTATGGCATTGGTGTTCTCTGTCCGTACGATTTTTTCTGCTGCTAGACCTTTACTTATGCGATCTAGGTAGTCTTTCACATGCTGAATGTTGTCTTGAATGGCTTTTAACTGTGTTTCAGTTAAAGCTCCAGAAATATTCTCTTGTTCTATATTTGTGGTTGTTTTACAACTGAAATTTAAGAATATATAATTGGTTTAAACAATGAACTATAAGTATAATGTATTTAAGGATCTTAGTTAATTTTATGTAACCTTAAAGCTATTGTGCTCAATCAGGTGTGCTGTTAAAGGAATCATACGATCTCATGGTCTACATTTGGTTTAAGATACTGAAGAGGTCACAGTTTTGATTGGATTTGTTCAAACTTTGTCACTATACATGCTATAATGTAGCTGATGTCCAGATATCCCAAAAATCAGTCAATTGTCCCTGGGGGCGAAGATTTTGTCCTTGTCTCTTTGCTGGCTTCCAACATTAGTGTTGTTAAACAACTAGCCAGCATAAATTGACTCTACCTGTAGGCAAAGATAGACTCCATTTAGTACTAGAACATCATTAAAATACATGAACTCTGCTTAATATGAGATGATTCAGTTGTCAGAAATCAGTGAATGTTGAAACTTTTTTGATCAAAAGAAATAGCTAAATTGCCTATCTTTAAAAAACATTATTGTGTTTAAAAAAAAAAAAACCCATAATTTTAGAGAGAAAAAAAGAAGTAACATAATTGTGTAAGAAGAAAAACCCTCCCCATAAAACCTAAGCAAGAGTGAGAAAAATAATTTGAACATGTCTACCTTTCCACAGTTGTTCCATTTTCCAAGACTTTAAGTCTTTCCTCCTGTTTTTTCATATCCTCAAAGACCAGCTGAAACATCCGTGATAAAACATTGTATTTGTTATCAACTTTATCTGCAGCAGATATCCTAATAAAACCTGTGCAGGAAAGACCAAACATGAACAAAAAATATGCTACACTTTTGTGTTTCATTGTGTAGTTTGATTAACTGCAAGAAAAGTTTACTTGTAAAGCTGTTATGCTTTACATAAGGCCAGGAGGCTCTGTGATTTGAATTTGTTCTCACACCTGTTCTTGAAATACTCCTCTGTACCAATTAATTATTGGTTTCTTGTGTAATATTTATGACTTAGTTTAGCTTAAACAAGCCATTTGTAGCTCACTGTGCCATTTGTAGCTCACTGTTCCATTTGTAGATCACTGTTCTATTTGTAGCTCACTTTTCCCTTTGTAGCTAAGCTGTGCCATTTGTAGCTCAGCTGTGCCATTTGTAGTCTAGCTGTTACATTTGCAGCTCACTGTTCCATTTGTAACTCATTGTTTCATTAATTTTGTAGCTCACTGTGCCATGTGTAGCTCATGGCTCCATTTGTAGTCCTATGTGCTACTTGTAGCCTACTGTGCCATTTATAGCTTGACTGTGCCGTTTGTAGCTCAGTTGTGCCATTTATAGCTCGACTGTGCCGTTTGTAGCTCAACTGTGCCATTTGTAGCTCACTGTTCCATTTGTAGCTCAGCTGTGCCATTTTAGCTCACTGTTCCATTTGTAGCTCACTGTTCCATTTATAGCTCACTGTTCCATTTGTAGCTCACTGTTCCATTTGTAGATCACTTTTCCCTTTGTAGCTTAGCTGTGCCATTTGTAGCTCAGCTGTGCCATTTGTAGCTCACTGTTACATTTGTAGCTCAGCTGTGCCATTTGTAGCTCACTGTTCCATTTGTAGCTCAGCTGTGCCATTTGTAAATCACTGTTCCATTTGTAGCTCACTATGCCATTTATAGCTCACTGTTCCATTTGTAGCTCACTGTTCCATTTGTAGCTCACTGTTCCATTTGTAGATCACTTTTCCCTTTGTAGCTTAGCTGTGCCATTTGTAGCTCAGCTGTGCCGTTTGTAGCTCACTGTTACATTTGTAGCTCAGCTGTGCCATTTGTAGCTCACTGTTCCATTTGTAGCTCAGCTGTGCCATTTGTAAATCACTGTTCCATTTGTAGCTCACTGTGCCATTTGTAGCTCACCTGTAATAAAAGTATTAAGCTTATTTGAATGACCATCAAGTCTGCATCCTGGAACTATTACCAGTAATGGGGTTATATTTGAGGAAACATTGGTTGTGACCCAGAATTTTCAGCTTGAATAGGTGTTTATATTATCCTTTCTTACACTTGATAATTACTTGTAGTTTTGCAAGCCACTTTAATTCTCATTAAAAACAACACTTAATGGAACAAATTGTGTAAAATTTTCAAATGCTTGTGGAGTTGTCATAAATTGAAAATGCAAAAATAAGGACCTGTTACTCCAGTTTGTATTTTTTGGCTGGATTACTTCCCCTTTATGAAAATTTCTAGCTAAGGTTTTGCATGCTGGCTCAATCTATATAACCATTGAAAGTTTTACCTTGAAAACTCAATCATGCTAACCAAGACCAATAATTCTTGCTTGATTTTGTTAGCATAATTTTGGAGTTATTGCCCTTTGTTACTTTCATACTTTTTGTTTAAGAGCATTACTTCAATAAATCAATATGATTGACCCCATAATTTCTTGAACATGACCCCAATCCCTGATTGTAAAGTTTTGAGTCTTTTTAGACAAAAACTGAAAAAACTTGTAATGTATTAATACATTTTTATGACAAATAAAACAAAGAAAACAGAATATTTGGGTCATTTAAATCCTTTTGTACTTCATTTTTGAGCACATTTTAAATTTTGATGTAAAAACACAATTTGCTTATGCACTGTGAAGTAATGATGTCACAAAATGGTGATTTTCTTCTTAGTTGATTATTCCTTGAATTTGGAATCTGGAAAAAACGATACTTTTTTTGGATATGGTAAATCCCCCACTATTGGTCTTTAAAATGGGCGAATCCCTGTGGGGATGTGTGGGGAATCATCATACAGTGATATTTCTAGGTTAATGATACACTTTGGTAGGGTTGTAGAATTAATACAATAAACAGTTTATATGAGACTATACCCAACAAAACAGTAAATATAAATTATATAAATCATTCAGAATGAAACAATTTCTTTTACTCAGCCTTATAAAACATATTTGTTTACATTGACTTTCTAACTAAACAGGATGTAAAAATTCAGACCTTGAAACACTTGCCAAGAAAATTTTCAGATCAACATGCTAGAAATTGATAACATCAAGTAAAAATATTTCATTTAAATCTTATCATGCTAAATATCTTGAAGCTACATGCCTTCAGATAAGGCAAAATATTTCAAGAAAATCAAACTTGAGAAAATTTGTACTGACATTTTAGAAATATAAAAATATTCAAGATTAATTTTAGTAGAAATAATTTCCATGTTATGTGCGATACATGACAGTGATTTTGCAGTATATTTTCACCATATTTCTACTGCATTCCTATAGCAGTAAATGCTTTTTTGTGTTCATATTTTGACCTCTTTTTAATTATTATTTACACAGTGTAATTTGAAATTTGTAAATTATTTTCTTTGTTCACTTCACAATATTTTACTTTGTTAATACATTTTCAATATTTTCATGAAAATAAGTAGGAATCTGGAGGCGTGTTGCTTTAAATGGTCTTTCTTACAATCTCAACTAACCCATTCATCATTTTTAGGAAAAGTTTCAAAATATCTATGGTTTTATAGGAGACATTGCCCATTGCCAGTAGATTTTCCTTGTCTGTTATCATCTTTTGACAGCACCATGCTTTTGTATAATGCCTTGACACATGGAGCCCTTATGGCGGACTCTTTTGGTAGATAAGTTCTATTTTGGTAGAGACATCTTATTTTCAACTCTCAGTATTCAACCTTTGTAGAGTGGCTGTTGTCTCTTGTCAGCTCAGTTATTTCATGTTATACTCATGTTGTTTTATTACTTGAGGAATGTTTATGAAAGTTTATTGAGTTGAAAAAAAAACAACCAAGCACAGAAGCAAAAACAACTGAAACAGAACTGGATATGATAATAAAAAATCTGTGGTATAAAGTGGCCTTGAGTATCATTTTAAAAGCATTGATTTGATGCCGGGAAGGAAAATTTTAACAGTTTCTCTGAAAACATTTATCAGGAGAGTCTGTATCTGATAATGAGAGTGGAATAATGTACAATGACTAAATAATGGATGGTAATGCACTTCATGGAAAGGCAGGCTAGAAATTGTAGTTTATGCTGAATTAGCCTTATGTAGCATCAATTTTGTAGTCATTACCTTGTCAGTCATACTGATCTTTGCTTTGACTTGTTGACCTTGGCAGTAAATACTGACCTTGGCTGTCATATTTACCTTGGCAGTCGTATACAGACTTCGGCTCTCATATTGACCTTGGCAGTGATACTAGTCTAGGCTCAGCAATCAAACTGAACTTAGCCTAGGCTCAGCAATCAAACTGAACTTAGCAGTCATCTTTTGCAGTAATATGACCTTAGTTATCAGAATGACATGGAAAGTCATGCTTATCTAGGAGCAGTCAAACTGGCCTTAGAATTCATGCAAATCTTGCCTGTTACATTTGCCTTGGAAGCCACACTGCCTTGGCAGTCATACTAACCTTGGATTTAAGTTGTACTGAGCTTTGTGACCAAACTGATCTTTGTGATCATGATGATAATATTCTAGACACTTCAATGACATGAAGGCTCTTTTATTTTGACCTGAATTGATTGAATGAAGGCTCTTTTATTTTGACCTGAACTGATTGAATGAAGGCTCTTTTATTTTGACCTGACATGAACTGATTGAATGAAGGCTCTTTTATTGTGACCTGAACTGATTAAAATTTTCGAAAAGATCATGATATTAAGCACTAGAAATACATAATATAACAGATTATATGCCAGTAGTTTTTCAGACATTCAGAAATCAAGTAAATAATATACATCTTCTATATGAAAAAGGAATACATTCCCATAATAAATATAATTGTACACTGTACATCTCCTTCAGAGTAACACCTTTTGTGGGACAAAGATTTTGGTCGTTGCTGAGAGATATTGAGTGCAAAAAGGTTATTGCTTTTTAAATGGCTGCTTTTCTGAGGTTTTACTGTATCTGGTTTTTATATTTTTACAGAACTGTTGCTGCCACGAACATGAACGAGACAAGTTCGAGATCTCATGCAGTTTTCACGATCGTGTTCACACAGCGGAGACACGATGAACAGACCAAATTGACAGGCGAAAAAGTATGTACTTCTTCATGTTTCGCATATTATATGTTATTTTGGTTTTGCAGTGATATATGTGGATATATTACCTGTCAAGATTTTAAATCACCCGAGCCGTTAGGCGAGGTTGATATTTTATCTTGGCAGGTAATATATCCACATATATAACTCCAAAACCAAAATAATAATTTTATTACTCTTCCCCTGCCGAGTTAAGACGATTTTAAAATAAATAATTGCTACTTCAAATGAAACGTCGAAATAAGATTCCCTTTAAGGTACCCATTCACCCCAACATGATGTCACATAAATACATGACGTAGTTTCTTTCGAACCTAACAAATGTAAACAAGAGAAAAGGAGTAGTCTGTTGAACGCACTTTTTTGGAAATAATATCAAGCTTTCACAAGGTCATATTTTGTTTTCAATACTGATGAGAATATGTATCATTACTGACTATTTTGGTAAATATTTATCATTTGACAGTTAAATTGTGCTTGTAAATCGGAATTTACATCGCGTAAAATCAAACTGTACGCGCATCGCCACAGCACATGTTGTTTACAACGTGGGGCACAAGTTTGATTTTATTGAAATATTTTGGCTCATCTGGAGGCATGCTGCTTTAAGCTTCCAGCATAAATGACCTTGAGCATAAAGAAAAACTGATGCTAATACTGTGCAGAATTTGTAAGGTTTATAGAAATGTAGTCAAGATTGATGTGATTTTCTGTTGTTTTTACAAGAATGCTTTATATTGCCCCAGTGGGCAAAAATGACACTGAGGATAAAACAACACCATAATGCAAGTACCGGTCTCAATTGGAATAGGTGTATAAAAATATAAGTACATCACAATGTGGAATTTCACCTAGATAGTCTAAAGTTAGTATGATTGGACCATGATAAGTGGTAATTAAGTTGAAAGTGACCTGTTTTGTTTGCTCCTGTGGGCAATTATTTTAGGGCATTAGTTTGCTCTTGTAGGCAATAATTTAGGACATAACTGCTCCTATAACCTATAAATTTATTCTTTTTCTTCAGGTGAGCAAAATTAGTTTAGTGGATCTTGCTGGGTCAGAGCGCGCTGATGCTACGGGGGCTAAAGGTGCCAGACTGAAAGAAGGGGCCAACATTAACAAATCCCTTACAACTCTAGGCAAGGTTATCTCAGCTTTAGCTGAAGTGGTAAGTTAATTCAGATGATAATTTTCGTAGTTTCATAGTCTATTATCACTATCATAGGTGAAGGGAATAGGTGGCCAGTTGTTAAGTGTTTAACATTAGCTTGGTTATGGTCCCGAAAATATCAAAATGATATTACAAAATGTATTCTTAAATAGTTATTGACTGTGATGTATATTTTGGAAAAATATTTCATTGTTTTTGGAAAGGAAAATCATTCAAAATTATGCCCTTTTTAAAGTACTTTTATAACATTTGGCATCCTTTAGCTTAGGGGGCAGGGGACATATTCGAATGATGGCACCGGTCCAATTTTTTAATAACTCAGACATGGTGTTTTGAAGGTACTGATAACTTCTGATATTTCTCTGTCATTGTAATTCTTTCTTGTTTGTGTGTAGGAAATGAGAAGTATTTTTGGGTTTTTACCCGGGTAGCTTTGTATGTATTTCTGACTCTCCGAATGGAGGTGAAAAAGTTAAAAATCAAGCTTTGACAGTTGGCGCCAAACAAGTAAGAAATTTCAGATAAATTTTGTGAAAAATCTAAACGTATGACAGACACTTTATTGGTCATGTCTGAAAATGCCATAGCTTGCACTGCGTGTTTTTAAAGGAATCAGGTGGATTCTGGAGTATGCTGCACCTTCATGAAGATTGCCCATATTGGTATATTTTAGGTGTGATTTTGGCTGGGTGGGGGTAAATATAAATTGCTGTCAGTCATTTTTGGAGGAGCAATGCATGCAAACTATTATTTTCTTCAATGTATGTCATATATCATTGAATAATGCTGTGCAACTGGTTATTTGCCTGTGAAACAGATTTTGAGATATTTGGAATTGTGTTTCTGGTCACACTGAAATAAAAAATTGTTCATTTTTAGCTCGACTTTTCTATGAAAAGGGGAGCTATCCTACTCGCCCCGGCGTCGGCGTCGGCGTCGGCGTTAGCGTTGGCGTCACACCTTGGTTAAGTTTTTCGTACCACCCCACTTTATTTCAGAAGTATTACAAGTATGGCTTTGAAACTTACCATACTTGTTCACCATCATAACCCTCCATCTACAGACAAGAGTACATAACTCTGTCAAGGTTTTTGACAGAATTATGGCCCTTTTTTGACTTAGAAAGTGTATTGAGCTTGGTTAAGTTTTTTGTACCACCTCACTTTATTTCAAAACCATTGGAGGTATTGCTTTGAAACTGACCATACTTGTTTACCATCACGACCTTCATCAACAGACAAGAGGACATAACTCTGTCAAGGTTTTTGACAGAATTATGCCCCTTTTTGACTTAGAAAATACATTGAATATGGGTAAAATCCACTTATTGCCTTAACCCTTTGAGATATTGCTTTGAAACTTTTAATGCTATTTCACATCATTACCCCCATCTGTACGCAAGAGAAGGTAACTCTGTCAAGGATTTGTTTTAAAAATTAAGGCCTTTTATCGACTTAGAATCTTGGTTAAGTTTTTAGTACCAGTCCACTTTTTGACTGAACTGTTTGAGATATTAATTTGAAAGTTGGAATACTTGTTTACCATCATGGTCCCAAAACATGGGCAGGAGAAGGTAATTCTGTTAAGGATTTTATTTGAATTATGGCCCTTTTTGACTTAGAAACTCAGTTAAGATTTTCATTCTTGTCCACTTGTTGACTTAACCATTTGAGATATTACTTTGGAAGTTGGAGTTCTTATGTGCCATCATGAGACCTATCTGTAAGCAAGAGAAGATAACTCTGTGAAAATGTTTCTTGATTTGTACTTAGAAATTCCTAGTTAAAGTCTTGTGTGCCCTTAACTGTCAAAGTTTTGTTTTATAGGCAAGCACTAAAAAAGTCGAGCGCGCTGTCCTTCTGACAGCTCTTGTTAGGTCCCCTGCCCCCTTAAGTTAGGCATTTTGTCATAGGAAAAAAAAATCAAATGTTAGGCATTTTATTGTAAGAGTAAGGCAATTGGACAAGAGATATTTAGTTCAAGTTAGGCAATTTTGTTGAAGGAAATGAAGGCAATTTCTGAAATGGGAGATGAAAGGAGATTGTGGCCATAAAATGAAGTAATAGAAAAAAAATTAGTCAACAGACGCTAATATCTGAAGACATGTGTTTCTGTGACAAGTGTGAATTTTTTTCCAGGAAATGCATTCAAATTATTTGTAATTTCCTGGAAATATTTTCTTTGTGTCGCTATGACCGATTCTTGTAAGATGTCTGAAATTATCCCCGCATAGACGTTCTGTCTCCGAACATTTTACATTTAAGGGCATCATATGGCTTTAATTATGTCTGACGGGTCAAATTATGACTTGATCTTCACAGGAACGGCACTGTTTTGATTTTCGTTTATTATTGCTTTTTTTGAACAACATACCTTCAGAGATTTATAACATTCCTGCGTTATTGAATTTTGATAGTGTTACGTAAAGTCAAGGGAAGAAAAAACTTAATTCAAGCTGGCATAAGGAGCTTACAAGCCATTTTAATTTACCTAAGACTTGACGTCACTTATGCGTTACACTATACACGCGTTGATGATAAATGATAAGTTTCTATACTGTAAACAGTTGTTTTTTTTATGTATGTGATAAACAGAATATTATACATGTATTTGTGTTACTATGTTCATTACTAAATTTATTGAACCCGTTGAATAAAAATCATATGCTGATTGCTCTCCAGAGCATCTCATATTATTATTTTATTCAACACGTTCACTCATTCAATAACCACTATCTACAGGCTCAAAAAAATGTCTCAAGTACATAATATTAGGCAGAAATATCTTCGCAAATGTTAAATAATAGAATTCCACAGAAAATTTATTGAATATTTCCTTCGTTTGATGTCATACCGAATATTGTTATAAACATTCCTTTGATTACATACGCGTCTGAGACAATTTTTAAAAAAAAAACAAACGAGAAGGGGGAAAAAATGAGGAAGAAATATTTTGTCATTGCCTCAATGGACTAGCTATAGAAACTGGTTGCCATAGCAACAGATTTGCCATCAGATTAGCTATTGATCGAGAGGACAGCAAGTTGTTGATTCAACAAGAAATAAAAGCTAGGTGACATTTTTCGTAGTCTATAAGATAATGGGATATTTCAATGGAGACTCGCAGGTTTCCAAATATGGAAACACGGGTCTTTATTTAGGAGAGATGTAGCGACACGGGCGTTTTTATTGTCATTTGATTGATAGGCTTTCGTGCTGTTTTTCCGTAAATCACTTTAACAAAAATGATCGCATATAAAGTAACAGTTGTTCAGTCCAGACCATGCTGCAATGATAATGTTGCGCATGCTTTTATACGTACATGTACAAGCTTTTGTAAGTACATGTACAAGCTTTCGTTAGTACATGTACATGCTTTCATAATTATGTACATGTACATGACATAAATAATTAGATACATGCAGAGCTGTCAAAATCTGATTTTGAGTTACTAATCCATTTTGACTGAAGCATTTTTCTACCTTCCGATAATTGTGATATTTGTTGAGTAGATTCTAGAAAAAAATCTAACTTGTCCATACAGGCTGTAGGAAAAGTTAAGCAATATAGACAATTGATTTTGCAATCCTGTACATGCACAATCATATCTAGTGGGTGGGGGTGCGGAGTCTTAGATTTGGATTATTGCGTTTTAGTTGAATATGCATTTTAGTAAACTAAGTTTAGACAATTTACATTTAAGTGTATAAAGCTGTGTATCTGCCCCGCCAACAATTATTGTTTGAATTTTGAAAAAGAATACTTCCAAATTGCTTGTATGAAATAATTATGGTAATAAATTGTCTTAAAAATGAATGGCAATGCACGAAATTTAACTAAACGGATAAAACTACTTTAAATAGCAGAAGAATATTTTGTTCTGAAACATTTGATTCTGTTTATGAACAATATACATGTGTGTTAAATATAACAGAAGCCTCTTAAATTACAGTTCTTTCGAGAATCGACCAAAAGATTACGGGAACAATATAATTTTACTTTTTGATGAATTTTGTAAAAATATTTCATCATATATTGTGAAAAAGCTATCTTAAGCTAGCTTACAAAATGGTGACAGAACTAATGAAGTGCAATCTGGTTCATGAAATAACTAATGATGGGCACCAGTGGAGGTCTTTTTTGCTCCACTGGGAAAGGCCCTATTATTGCATTGTATTGTGAAATTTATGACCCAATTTTATACACTTGCTATTCTGTTTGTGTCTCAGTACTCACAGTGGCTTAATACCATTCCAGAAACCAGAAGAACTTTATTGATGATCATTATTTTTCTTATTCTTATCGATCTTTTTATCTGTAACATTTCCTAGTGAAGATTTCTTAACAACTAATGACTTTTTAAGGCCCTTTATATAACTTTTAGCCCTTTATATAACTTTTAGGCCCTTTATATATAAGAGGCAATGGTTAAGATAGAAAAAAAAATAGTTTTATCAATCTTTTTGTATCTTAAAAGAAAAAAAAACAAACAAAAAAACAACAACATTTATAGTAAAAAAGATCTGTTTCTTCATATATATTTAAAATGATAATTTAGTAATTCAAAGCTTTATTTTTATTTTCTTTGTGCATATAAGAGTGCCATGGACCATTCAAAAGTAAGTTTTGCCATATTGTAAACAAGTGTTGTGTAAGTGTAGTAAAGTTGTTGTACCTGTGTGTGATAGAATAGTCGTTATTTCCATTATTACCTCCCTTTAGAATTGTTTCACAGTTGTCCCCCTTTATCCTTAACCAGTGTAATTTTGACTATTTTTAAGAAATATCATTGCAGGATTGACTAAGAAATGTATTGTTCTTTAATAAGTACCTTTAAAGTTATGCTTTTCATTTTCCATCTAGGTCTAATCTTATAAGTGTGTAAAATACATCATGTAAGGAAAGCCTATGCCATTGTGACATCATAGACCTTCCATATTTTGACATTAAAGGGCCTCCATATTTGCCATGATCTGACTGTATTTTGACATCTCAGACCTTCTATATCTGCAATGATCTAACTGTATTTTGACATTAAAGGGCCTCCATATTTGCCATGATCTGACTGTATTTTGACATTTCAGACCCTCTATATCTGCAATGATCTAACTGTATTTTGACATTAAAGGGCCTCCATATTTGCCATGATCTGACTGTATTTTGACATTTCAGACCTTCTATATCTGCAATGATCTAATCGTATATTGACATTAAAGGGCCTCCATATCTGCCATGATCTAACTGTATTTTGACATCTCAGACCTTCTACATCTGCAATGATTTAAGTGTATATTGACATTAAAGGGCCTCCATATTTGCCATGATCTGACTGTATTTTGACATTTCAGACCTTCTATATCTGCAATGATCTAACTGTATATTGACATTAAAGGGCCTCCATATTTGCCATGATCTGACTGTATTTTGACATCTCAGACCTTCTATATCTGCAATGATCTAACTGTATATTGACATTAAAGGGCCTCCATATTTGCCATGATCTGACTGTATTTTGACATTTCAGATCTTTCATATTTGCAATGATCTAACTGTATATTGACATTAAGGGGCCTCCATATTTGCAATGATCTGACTGTATTTTGACATCTCAGACCTTCCATATTTGCAATGATCTTACTGTACTTTGACATTAAAGGGCCTTCATATTTGCAATGATCTGACTGTATTTTGACAGTATAGGGCTTCCATATTTGCAATGATCTTACAGTATTTTAACATTATAGGGCTTCCATATTTGTAATGATCTGTCTGTATTTTGACATTATAGGGCTTCCATATTTGCAATTGTCTGACAGTATTTTGACATAATAGGGCTTCCGTATTTGCAATGATCTGACTGTATTTTGACATTATAGGGCTTCCATATTTGCAATGATCTGATTGTATTGCTATATTTGCATTGGCTTGCATAATATGTTTTGACAAGATGTACTTTTGGCATTTTAGGTCTTCCATAATTGCCCTTTGCTCCCAACAAATTAAATAATTCTAAAATGTGGTACTTGTTTGTCATTCTATGTAATGTATTTTTTCTTGAAATAGTAAGTTAAGTAACAAAAATCAGTTAATATTTCATAACTTTATTTTCTTATGCATTTTTCGTAATTTAAAGCTTTACTGTAAAAAGCGCTTAAATATACTTCAGTATTTGTATAGATGTTGAATTTTTATAACCTGTCATATTTATCTGATGTGTATGTGAGCAGCATTATGACAAAACCAACATAGTGCGTTTGTGACCAGCATGGATCCAGACCAGCCTGCGCATCCACGCAGTCTGATCAGGATCCATGCTGTCTGCTATCAGTTTCTCTACTTGTAATAGGGTTTGTAAGCGAACAGCATGGATCCTGATCAGACTGCGTGGATGCGCAGGCTGGTCTGGATCCATGCTGGTTGCAAACCCATTATGTTGGTTTTGTCATGACATGGCTCAATTTATATTTGTAAAAAAAAAAAATTGACCATTTTTTCACAAAAGCTGGAATATTGTTTCTATTAAACCAAGTTATTGCATAACATTGTTGAGTATTGGTAAACATTTTTATTTTTTGCTATATTGCCTTTCAAAGAAAAATTTCAAGGTATGTGAAATTTTTATTGAAAAAAAAAGAAAAGAAAGAAATCATCATTTTTCATATTTCTTCCTTTATCACAATTACTCACAGTGTATAAATGGATCTACTTCCTACCTTTTTGTTGAAATTTTATCTGTCATACCAAACGTAATGTATAGAAAGTGCATTTTGATTGGTTTTAATTGCCTCATGAAATTGTGAGGCAACCAGTGAAATAGTTGTCTTTGACACACACCTCTGATTGACTGAATATCCATGGCTGATAAATTTTAATTTTTCCACGATGCTACTTAAAAGATTAAATTTCATAAGCTCTAGTAGCACAGAGGTACACTGAGGGGTACCTTGTTATTGGCAAATTTTTACATTGGTACATATTTTCTTTTCATAGGCTTGCAAGACAAAGTAATTTCATTTATCCACTGCGGGACTGCATCAAGATTAAATTTCATAAGCTCTAGTAGCACAGAGGTACACTGAGGGGTAACTTGTTATGGCAATACATTGGTACATACTTTAACTTTTCATAGGCTTGCAAGACATTTAAGAAATTTCGTTTATCCACTGTGGGACTGCATCAAGTTTTCTTTTTATTTTGTTTTTTATTTCATAGCTAGAAAAAAAATCACTTTATCACTGGGTTTTATAATAATTTAGATTTTAATGCCCACTTTTCTAAGTGGACATCTAATTTTACCCTTGTTTTTCGGTCAGGCTGTGCACGTAAACAGTGGATTGCAGGGGCATCTGATGTGTCCTATGGACACAATTTTTCTAGATTCTATTTTTATGCTCCCCGTATGTACGTATGAATTTGTGTCCGGCCCATAACTTCGTTATTTGATGTCGGATTTTACAACTATTTCACAGAAGTAATCACCTTATTGAGACAACGTGTCGCACCCAACGTTTGGGTGGCTACCTTGAAGGTCAAGGTCACAGCATGACCTTGCAGCAAAATTGTGTCCGGCCTATAACTTCGTTATTTTACGTCGGATTTTACAACTATTTCACAGAAGTTATCACCATATTGAGACGACGTGTCACACGCAACATTTGGGTGGCTATCTTGAAGGTCAAGGTCACAGCATGACCTTGCAGCAAAATTGTGCCCGGCCCATAACTTCGTTATTTGAAGTCTGATTTTACAACTATTTCACAGAAATGATCATCATATTGAGACGAAGTGTAGCGTGCAACGTTTGGGCTGTTTTTACATGTTGAACTTTGTCTGTGACATAACTGACACTACAAGAGGTACACCTTCCTGTTTCCAAAACCTATTTGGGGAGCATCACCTGGTTTAACCGGCTCTTGTTTATTTATTGACGCTTACTGGTCTTCACTTGCATTCATAATACTTTATTTGTTTATTTCTTAGGGTTCATTTTAAATTTTTTAGAACTGTATTATATTTTTGAAATTTTCTTGAAGCAGTTAGCACTATTAGTTGTGCAAAATTATTACTTGTTACCCATACTATTTCCATTTCAAGAAAAATTCATTAAAGTTCTAAAATGTAATAAACCCCACCCAAAATGTAAAAAAAATAAAATCAGAATTAAGCAATTTGATATTGAAATCCCTTAAAAATGAAAATGGACTATCCCAAATTGATCGAAGTTTAGTGATATTCTTGTTTATTACGGCTATAACTAAATTTTCTGGCTTAATTCTCTGAGGAGAGCACAAGGTTTGAAATATTGACAGATTTTCGTCTGATGTTGAAATGTTTCGAGATTTTTTTTTCGGGAATTTTTACAAAATATATGATTGATATCCTGTCTACGTACCAGTCTGCTAGGAGTGCCGTCTGCAGAATTTGATAACAAAATTATATATTATATTATTTTAGTTGTTAAGAGAATGTTCTCAATATGAAAAGCCCATGTTGTCTGTTTGTAGGAGAGTTTTTGTATATTCTTAGTTTGTACAAGAATTATAATTTTATTTTTATATTTCACACGTTAACACAAGACATTTTGCCATAGATTCTGGACATTTAACTTGTTTCTTTTTTTCTTTTTTTTTGATTTATATATAATAAAACACTTTTTATCTAGTAAACTTTGAACTCTTGTTACATTGCACAACTTAAGCAGGTTAAAGGTTAATATTGTACAACAAAATCTGTTTTGAAATTTTTTGCAAAAACTTCTTATATATATAACTGTCTTAATACATATTATTTATACTTTTTTTGGTCAGTCAAAATCCATTACATACATGTATATTAATTTCAAACTTCAATTGGTAATGTTTTAATTTCTGAAAAAAAAAACAAAAAAACGCAACAGAACACTTCCCATATTTTGTTTATCATCATTTTCGATTTGTAAATTTAGAAATCTTTCTGAATTAACAATAGACACTTCTAAATTCAAACCAGGATAAAGTCCAGTGATGTTATAGTTTTAATAGTTTCAGTTGTGTTGCTTATACCTGAACAAAACACAATAGAAACAAACATTTTCTTCTCAATGGCACTCTAAAAGTATGTAAATAATTAAGTGTACAATGGTCGTGCTCAATAACTGACTTTAAGACCGTGAATAAGCTACTAAAAAAAACCTTAATTGACTCAGAAAGTATGTTAATTAATGAGTGCACAAAGGTCGTGCTCAATATAACTGACTTTAAGACTGTCAATAAGCTACTAAAAGAACCTTGAAGGAAATAAACAAGGTTATAAATTTGTCTGTTTCTGTTAATGATCGAGTTATGTCTAAATGCCGTCTGCTTATAAGGAGGGGTTCACATTATGTCTAGGAGTGGTTCACATTACATTTATGTCTAGGAAGAAGTAAAGGAAGAAGTAATGTTTAATAAATTTGTTGGGGAAAATCTGTAATAGATAATTAACTCAATAAATTTGTTGGGAAAATCTGTAGTACAAAATTTGATAGATAATGAACTTAATAAATTTGTTGGGGAAAATCTATAATAGATAATTTAATAGATAATTAACTCAATATATTTTTTGGGGAAAATCTATTATAGATAATCTAATAGATAATTACCTCTATAAATTTGTTGGGGGAAAATCTATAATAGATCATTAAGTAAATGGTTAAGTCAATAAATTTGTTGGGGAAAATCTATAATATACCTGTACGAAAATTCTGAGCCAATTCTGTACAGACTCTGTACCAACTCTGGTTGTTATAGAGGCAGATTTTCATTTTTCTGTACAGAGTTGACACCGACACAGAATTGGACACAGAATCCGCCTAGGAAATAGGTGATTTTCTGTGCAGAATTAAACAGAATCAAAAAATTTTCTGTACAGAAAAAATTTTCATACAGATATTTTGCTCTTAGTTATTTATATAAGACAGAATTTCACTACTTAGAAAAAAAATTGAGGCAGAATTTACATTAACACACAGAATTTTAACACTTAGATAAATCTTGAGACAGAATTTACTTTTCTAGCCAGAATTTCACTCTTGAGTTAATCTCAGAGTAGAAGAATATTCTGTAATACCAGGTGTAACCCCCATGTAACCCCTGTTGGTCAATTCAAATCTCTCAGGCCGCCACGTGAGGTTTTATTACACAAAGTGTCTTCATATTGGCAAAGATTATGTTTTGTTTAGTTTATTTTTCTAATGATAAGTTAACAAGTTAGTTGTTGTGAAGTTGTGAAGAGAAATCATGTAGAGACTTGAAATTCTCAGATTTAGGGGCCAAAGAGGAATTATGATGGAATTATAATCAAAACCAGAGGTAAGATTTTGCAATGTTTTCTTTGAATTTTTGGGTATACCTTCCACAATTGATAAAAGAAATTATTTATACATCTTTTAATAGTCTATGGATTATCTATATTAGTTGATTTTACTATGATTTGAGACACAGACCACTATGGTCTAATGAGTATAAATGCACTGAGGTCAAAGCTGGGACAGTAAAATTATAAGTTCATAAATTGCTTTTTGATAAGTCAAGATCTATTTTTTTAAATTTCCTATCTTGCTCTTTTATGCAGTAAATAGTTTGGCTATTCTATAATTCAATTCATTTAGCTTATAACTCCCGGCAATTGTGTTACTATTTTAAGTTATGTTGCAATTTGTAACACAAGCTTTGGTCAGGGATGATATATGTAAACAGTCAGTGACTTTGATGTTACTCAGGGTGCTATATCAGTGCTATACAAAAAATAGGGATACAATTGTAACTGTTTTATATACACATTGAAATATTTCACAAATTATGCATATCATTTAATAATAATAGAATGAACATTATTCAAATTCCTTTTTTTTTTACTCTTTAGGATGTGTGGTGCAAAGACAGAGACAAGCCAATTCCTGATGACACTGTGCCCTCAACAAGGCTATTACTCGTTGGATAGACTACTCCAGGAAAGAAATGAATAAAAATTGTTAAATGAAATTAATAAATAAAAAATGTTCAAAAGGAAATTGATTTTGTTTTTAGCCAAAAAAGAAAATCTGTACAGAATATTTTCTGTACAGAATTTTTTCTGTGCAGAATTCCCTTTCAGATATTTTCTATGGACAGGGTTAATTCTGTACAGAATATGAAGAAGCCCAGATTTTTTTCTGCCCAGATTTTTTTTCTGCCCAGAATTTTTTTTTCTGCCCAGATTTTTTTCTGCCCAGAAAATATGCGGCTTAATTTAAATATTTCAGAAAAAATCTGTACAGATTTTGTTCTTTATCCTTATTGCTAAAATCTATTAATAGAATTCTGGTTCAACTTTGTTTCATTTAACCAGATTTTTTTCTGTACAGACTCTGTACAGAGTTTTCAAAATAAAGTCTGTACAGATTCTGTCTGCATTCTGCCCAGACTTTTTCGTACAGGTATAATTAATAGCTTATGAAGTTAATATATTTGTTGGGAAAATCTATAATAAGTAATGAACCTTTAGGGGGAACTTTTCAGAATAATTTTTGGTAAAATAGAATTACCTGAGTTTTAATGTCACCCTCTCCCAAATATCCTTCAATTTTTAGAAAGATATTTTAAAATTTTTATTAATTTTTCGAGATAAATGTTCCATTTCATGTTAGTCTAAACCAATAACTTTAATGTATGCAAAATTTCAGATTATTTGCTCACTAAATTAAATTAATCTAATTGTGAGAAATTATCCAAAATTGAAAAGCATTGCAATGTTTTTCACTCAAATCGGGCTAAGAATAGCACAAATATAAGATTTTCAATTTATTTCAATATATTACTTAATTACCATTTGTATATCATTCTGTTTTGATTAAGTGTCTCAGGGATCTTTGTGAGAACTTCAAATTTTATGTTTTTTATGTTTTGAACCTCAGTGGAATTTCTTAAAAATATGAAACACTTGAACTGATTAGTAACTATTCTTTCTTTGTTACAGGCAAGCAAGAAAAAGAAGAAAGGGGAGTTTATTCCTTACAGAGATTCAGTTCTGACATGGCTTCTCCGAGAAAACCTTGGTAAGTATGATAAGCCCATTTTAGGCTTTTAAACAGTATAAGCCAGAGTCTCTGAAGGTCAAGCAGTCTGGTAATGACATGCCTCAGCCACTTCTGTATGAGGTCAGAACAACTTTTTTAGCCAAAACTGACTCGATTCTTAGCTAACTATAATTAGCTGGTGATTGGTAGTTATTTGCTGCATTGTATTATGATAAATCTGAAAATGGGTGGTAACAACTACAAAATTTAATGGAAGTGGTGTGGTAGTTAAAATAATTGTATTATGATAAATCTGAAAATGGGCGGTAAAATACAGCCTGAAAATGGAAGTATTATTAATGGGCACCATTAAACTATAATGACAAGCTTTCAACAAAGTTTTGTTTACTGCAAGGGTAAAAATTTACAAGCTAACTGATAATTGGCAAAGTTTCAATTCCGAGCAAAACATTGGAACTTCTCTGCAAGTCTGTGGCCAATCTTTTAAAATTTGAAAAGCATTGCAAGCTTACAGCATTCTTAAAATTCAATAAAGTTGCAGTTTTGTTGACTTTCTTCCCTTTAAGTATAAAATTTTCTTCTCTTAATTTGTAAAATTTTTGATGTTATATTATATTTCATACTATTCTTTAAATTGAAATAAGCATCTTTGTTTAATAATGAATAACTGTAATTCTTAGAATTGTCTCGGGCAAAACATTTTTAATATAATTACAGCTCTGGAAACAGTTACATCTTATTGTAAATTCACAGCTTGATATTCATTCATTATCAAGGTTTTATTTTTGTATTTCCCTTCTCCTGTAAATAATTTAGTAAATTCTAGAAAACTCTTCAATAATGGAGGAATAAAATGTATAAATCTATCTTAGGTTGTTGAATTTTATTTGATAATTTTCTTTTATGCAGAGTTACAAAAAATCTCTTAATAATAGGGAAATTTTACAAGCATGGTTATTTGATATTTATCTGTAAATTGTTGCCATGGCAACTAATAGTATGATGCATTGTAAATAAATGTAAAAAAAAAGATGTGCCGTCCAAAATAGAAATGCGATACAAGGACTAGCGACATTATTCATAACTGAATTATCAGGTAGGAGGAAATAAGATGTGGAACAAATTTGATAAAAACAGGCACTAACCTTTAAAGAAAATGGAAAGCAGTATTGACTACTGAAGTATCTGGGGGTTTTAATGTATAATTATATCCTTTATGAGTTTCTGTTTCAAAAATAATACATCTGTGATGAGTTTATCCCTGCAACAACTGAATCTACCTATGCCGCCAGTGCACACCAAGAGCGGCTCGCACAATTTTCCCCTAAAAATGTTTATCACATTCTTTAATATAAGATACTTTTTTATCATGATGTGAATATAAGATACTTGTTTATCAAATGATATGACTATAAGATACTTGTTTATCACATGATGTGAATATAACATACTTGTTTATCACATGATGTGACTATAAGATATTGTTTATCTATTGATGTGACTATAAGATATTGTTGATCACATGATGTGACTGTAAGATATTTGTCTATCACATGATGTGAATATAAGATAGTTGTTTATCACATGATGTGAATGATATATACTTGTTTATCATTTGATACTATCTATCCTGAAAATTGGTAAAAGGCCATTGGAAAATTCAGATCTTCAAAAGCAGAACTGTCTTTGTTCACAGATCCGCCTGTCTAATTTCCATACATTTTGACTGGACTAAACAAAAAGAAGATGTATTTTATTAATAAACTTACTATTGTTCTAGAATAATGTTTAGCAATTCAAGTTTTTATTTTGAAATTGATTGTTCCTAATTTAAAGCAAGGTGAATCATTTACACAAATGAAAGGATAAATAAATGTATTAAACTATTTATGATTTCAGGTGGAAATTCAAAAACGGCCATGATAGCCGCTCTCAGTCCAGCAGACATCAACTATGATGAAACTCTCAGTACACTAAGGTAAATACTCATTTATCACATGACGTTGTTAGGTTTTCCATGCATTATAACTATGATAATTTCTTTATATTGTATAAATGTGGCGTCCGTGGCCGAGTGGTTAAGGTCATTGACTTCAGACCACTTGCTGCTAGCTCACAGCTAAGGGTTCGAATCCCAACATGGACGTTGGATTCTTACATTTTAGGAAGCTTTAGAGCTAGCTTACGGAATGTTGGTGGTTTTACTCAAGTGCCCCTTTGTGCCAGAAATAATACACGGAAGGGTGCCTTAGGTCTTCCTCAACCAGTAAAGCTGTAAAATCGCCGTATGACCTATACTGTGTCGGTGTGACATAAAACTCAAGCAGTGTGACGTAAAACCGAGGCAAAAAAAGAAAAATTATTGTATAATTATGTGTTAAGTTAATTTGTCAATAAATTTATGTAAATTTATTGTAATGTGTAATTTCGCAAATAATGTTCATTGTACAAGTCATGTATGTATTGCAAGATAATCTTACCATAGACGAAATAAAATTTTGTTGAATCTTAAATTATTGCTTAAAAGGTCTTAAAGTCTTGCAACCGGTAAAGGTTTAAATTGTTGTAAAGTTTTACCTTATAAACATTGGTGAATGAGTAAGTTACCTTTTGAAGTGGGTTTGTTTTTCCGGAAAAAAGAAAGCCTGTCTTCTATGAAAGGTTATTGTCATGGAAGCAACTGTAACCGGTCTCCATAATCCACTAGTAATAAACTTTGTTTGAAGCAATAATCGTGAAATTTTAATTTTTCGATTTTCATTTGGGGAGAATTAGAGACTGTGGTCTTAGTCGGAAATGGAAAAAAAACTCTTCCCTTAATTTGTAAAATTGTTGATGTTGTATTATATTTCATACTATTCTTTAAATGGAAATGAGCATCTTTGTTTAATAATGAATAACTGTAATTCTTAGAATTGTCTTGGGCAAAACATTTTTAATATAATTACAGCTCTGGAAACAGTTACTTCTTATTGTAAATTCACAGCTTGATATTCATTCATTATCAATATTTTGTTTTTGTGTTTCCCTTCTCTTGTAAATAATTTAGGAAATTCTGGAATACTCTTCAATAATGGAGGAGTAAAAAGTATAAATCTATCTTAGGTTGCTGAATTTTATTTGATAATTTTCTTTTATGCAGAGTTACAAATGGAAGAAAAACTTAAAAATATTTCATACTTTTTTTGTTGTCATTGGACGTTTGAGGAATTAGAATATTAATTGATTCAGATATCTTGTACTTCGTAATTTTGTTTTTTAATACCTGATATTCACCTTTACCCTACTAGCTGTAGACTGATTCACCAATGCAAACAGTGCTGACTTTAAATATCAGCCAGCACATCCATGCCATCTTATCATAGTCTGCAGGGTTCGAATATAAGCTTGCATGCATGCAAAATGTCAGTTAAAATTCTAATACAGCAAGCAGAAATTACTTGAGATGCATTGTTTGCTATTCAGTCAGTAGCTATTTTATAATGTTCTCTAAAAATGATGAACCAGATTTTGTGGACAAGTCCATTTAAGGTATTTTGTATGGTAATGGTTAACATTGTAATAGACACGTTTAAATAAAAAGAACCTGCTGAATCCTGTATAGTGGATTTGCCCTGCTTTGGTTTAAAAACAGTCCAATTAAAGTTAAAAATATTTCAATATCTAAATACAAAAATTTAAGCTACCAACATTTAAGGCGTGATCAGATTGCATGTAAGTGCACGTGAGTACGAGCTGGTCTGGCTCGATACTGGAGGTACATGCAGGCTAATCACAGACCGTGAGTGACAGCAGGTGAAAGAATTAAATAAACAGCATCTACAGATATTTGTTTTACTTCCTTCTGTTTTTAATTGTAATAATTATGCAATATTCCTAAAATAGATAAATGTTCTAGTATTTCTGACCTTCACCAGACCTTTAATATTTCCTGGACGACTTTGACCTTTAAATCTATAATGCTGTGACCTTGATAAAAAAAATTTGTGTGACCTTCACATTTCTTACCCTGAACTTGACTTTTTTGTTATGTACTATTGTAGCATACTGTATTTGGAATTCCATTAAGCTATTTTATGTTATGTTATTGTAAAACTCTTCTCAAATTTCCTCATTAATTCCTGCAAAATTTCTAAATTCCTTGTAAGTGAAATAAAAGCATCAAGAAGCTGTGACTCATATTAAAGTTTAAGAGAAAGCCAATTATCTAAGATATGAAATATAATGTACCAGTAGTTCAGTCAAGAATTAGAATACAAAGAAATATTAGAATTTGTGATGAGGAAAAATTGAAGATCAAATTTTAAATTACATAGGCAGTAACTTTTTTTTTATCCAAAAAACATGGAAACATTTTCATCATTGTTGTATAATGCATTGTTCATGTAATAATTTACTTGACCACCAGCACTATTTGTCGTTTTAAAAAGTGAAACATCCACATTTTTACTGTAACTTCTAGGTGATGTTGTTATAACCGTAAATTGTATCCCCTGACGTATGAATTTGATTATAAGTACAAAATTGAGTTATTTTTTCACCAGTCTAAATGGCTGAGTTGTAAAATTTGATGATTCAAATTACTTCTGGTATGGGTTTGAATCCCACCAGGACGTGCATAATTCTTTCCTGACCACGAGGTTATTAAAAAATTTTATGAGTTCTGTCTCAAAATCTCAGGATTTTCATTGGTCTGTGAACATTATATGTGGCAGTTTCTGACCAATCAAGTACCTGAGATGTGAGTTTGAGCTTAGAGAGTTTCTTAATAACCTCCGACCCTGTTCCGTAGAAAATGGCAGGAGTTTAAGCTAGAAAGTCACCAAATGACCTTGACACTGATGAAGAAATGCCTAAGAAAAAAAAATAATATTAATAAATAATAATAGCTCTAATAATAAAAACTAATTAATAAAAAAATTTTCCCCAGGTACGCAGATAGAGCTAAGCAGATTATGTGTAAGGCCGTGGTTAATGAAGATCCGAACGCCAGGTTGATACGAGAGCTGAAGGAAGAAGTTGTTCGTCTTAGAGAAATCCTGTCAAATGAGGGAATCACTGTCGGAGAGGGTAACATATATTTATTATATAATTTATGACAGAATTTCGGTAAATTTAATATAAAAAAAAGCAGCAAGTCAAACTTATGCAGAAGTGTTATTATTTATGGTAAATTTTGATAATTATAGCAAAATTTTGTATAGTTCTGCAGAATTTTGATAATTATGGCAGAATTTTGATAATTCAGCAAAATTTTGTATAGTTCTGCAGAGTTATGATTATTATGGCAGAATTTCGATAAACTTATAATGGCACAATTTTGATATATACTGCAGAAACAGGTTAAGATGACTTTGTAAGCCTGGTGAATATTTAAACAAGAAACATGTACATTCAGAATTCTTTTATTGTTAGCAAATAGAATGCCTTATTGTAGCTGAAATATTCAATTGTTTGAATAATTAACGTGATCTACGTTTCTGTTTCTGTGGGGATTTACTATAGGTGAGAAATCTGTTTTGAGATTTTAAGTATCAATATGTAAAAGAGACAGTTTCTCAGTGTCCAAAAAAAATAATTGTGTTGGTCCCCTAGATAATGTCACCTTTCCAGCTTTTTACCCAAGAAAAGTATATTATACTGTACTGTATAATTATATAAGTTTTTAATGCAATGAGAAGTTTTAGGGGTTAAGTTAATCGGAAAAATTTATCGGAAAGACAGGAAACAATTAGTTATTACTTTAGCCTAATTACGAATTAAAGTCTTTTATTGTATATCACCAGGACTGCAGGGTATACCACACACTGTAAATAGATCTCGTAAGTCATCTGTGACTGTCGACGGAGGGGAGGACGCCGTAGAACGTCTGGAAATGTCGGAAAAACTTATCGCTGAACTGAATCAATCGTGGGAGGAGAAATTACGCAAAACAGAGGAGATAAAAAAAGAAAGGTACGCCATTTAGTTGTAGTTTGATACGTTACACTTTATGATCATTTCAATTCAGATTATGTAGGTAAATATAATATTTTACCTTCTTAAAATAAATGATATTTATCACATACACATGCTGCTTTTACGACTCTGTAAATATGGTATTGCATGGGAGTGCATATATTTTGAGTTTTGACATGACGTTATTTTACAATATAAAGATAGCGTTAAGACGCACAAAATGTTAACGTTATACTAAAGGTGGATCAATGAAAAATGGTTCTATTTCACTTCAAACAGTCTTTATTTTTGGTATATGATAAATATAATATTAAATTTGTGTACATTCAATATTAAATTTATTGAACAAGTTGAATAAAACAATATTATGCTGGCCAAAGGCTCACATAATATGATTTTTTGTTCAACTTGTTCAATAAATTTAGTATTAAACTTACACTCATTCAATAGTCTCTATTTTGTGATCATTTTAATTCAGATTGTGTAGGTAAAATAATATTTTGCCGTCTTGCTTAAAATAAATTGATTAACAATAAATCTCCGGCCAAGATAAAAAATTAAGGTTTATGTATCGAAAGGTCTTGTCCTAACTGATTTATAAAAGCCCGACTTGGCATGTGGGATAAATGTTTCTTCGAAACTGTTCACAATTAAAGGTTATGAAATGAATTATTACAACAAGTTTTGACTTATACAGTCTAGAATGTGTGTTTATTTTTAAATATCAAGGGTCAAAAACTGATTATAAAAGCCAGTTTTGATTTAAAAAGTCAGAAATGTGGGGTTTATTTCTAGATATCAAAGTTCAAGAACTAGAAATTTTAATCTTTCAGCTGATTATAGTTTTATTTTGAAAAACAGTAAATTCTAGTTCTTATATTGTATAAGACGTTTAATAATAATGATTGATCCTGTAATAACGGTCATATTCAAAAAGAATTCTTTCAAATAGTATAGCTTTGTTTATATTTACATTTATAGAGAGGCGGTACTTGCAGAGATGGGTGTGGCTTTAAAACCAGATGGCGGTACATTGGGTGTGTTCTCACCAAAGAAAACGCCCCATCTGGTAAATTTGAATGAGGATCCTTTAATGTCAGAGTGTCTGATTTACTACATAAAAGAGGGTGTCACAAGGTATGTAAAGTCCTGAAAGTTATGGTACTTACTTACAGATTTTACTGATGATAATTTATTTGCTCATTTATGGCTTCAGTGGCCGAGCTGTCATTTAATGATTGATTGATTTTGAATCGCTTACACTACACAAAAATAAGTTAATAAATTTTGCCTGTGAAGTCGGAGATCTCCAATAAAATTAAACAGATTTCATAAATATTTCAGTCAGATATGCAACAACAACTTTATCTATGCCCCCACTACTAAGGGGGTCAGGTTTAAAGATTTGCTATTGGTTATCCGAGTCCCTCTATCTTGCTGTCCATATGCAGACTGAGAAAACAGTGGAATGTTGGGGCATTCATGTCCGTCTTATAGATAATTATATTTGAGCCGTGCCATGACAAAACCAACATAATGGGTTTGCGACCAGCATGGATCCAGACCAGCCTGCGCATCCGTGCAGTCTGATCAGGATCCATGCTGTTCGCTTATCAACTCTATTACAAGTGGAGAAACTGACAGCGAACAGCATGGATCCTGATAAGACTGCGTGGATGCGCAGGCTGGTCTGGATCCATGCTGGTCACAAAACCACTATGTTGGTTTTGTCATGATACGGCTCATTTCTAGATATTATTACCTGAAGCATGTAGTAGGTATGAGAGATCATGTGTTTTGTACCACATGCATTGAATTTTTGTATGGTCCATATTTCAGGTGTGGTCGGGAGCATGCCAGCATTCAACAAGAAGTTATTTTGTATGGAACGTACATCAAAGATGAACATTGTATATTTGAAAATGATGACGGTAAGTTTCCCAGGCTTTGTAATAATGTGATTGGTAAAATTGCTTCTTAAAAAAGTGCAATTTGGAGTGTAATTGGTAAAATTGCTTCTTAAAGAAGTGCTTTTGGAGTGTGATTGGTAATGTTGTTTCTTAAAGAAGTGCTTTTAGAGTGTAATTGGTAAAGCTGTTTCTTAAAGAGGTGCTTTTGGAATGTAATTGGTAAAGTTACTTCTTTAAGAAGTGCTTTTGGAATGTAAATGATAGAATTGTTTCTTAAAGAAGTGCTTTTGGAATGTGATTGGTAAAATTGCTTCTTAAAGAAGTGCTTTTGGAGTGTGATTGGTAAAATGGCTTCTTAAAGAAGTGCTTGGTAAAATTGCTTCTTAAAGAAATGCTTTTTGAATGTAATTGGTAAAGTTTCTTCTTAAAGAAGTGCTTTTGGCATGTAATTGGTAAAATTGCTTCTTAAAGAAGTGCTTTTAGAGTGTAATTGGTAGAATTGTTTATTTAAGAGGTGCTTTTGGAATGTGATTGGTAAAATTGCTTCTTAAAGAAGTGCTTTTGGAATGTAAATGGTAGAATTGTTTCTTTAAGAAGTGCTTTTGGAATGTGATTGGTAAAATTGCTTCTTAGAGAAGTGCTTTTTGAATGTAATTGGTAAAGTTTCTTCTTAAAGAAGCGCTTTTGACTACAAGAAAATAAGTCTTTTTGATGAAAATTGTTAAAATAGTTTTGAGTTGTTAAAAAATAAAAGTAAACATAAATAAAAAATAAATTCTTCTTGTTATTAAAATGTAATATGAGGAAATATGTGTGATTTTTTTTAATGAACAGACTTGCAATCTTCATTGGAAAATATTTCATTAGGCATGGTCAACTTGTCAAAATCCATACATAATCTGCACATTGGTACAAAAATTGACAAAATTTCATTGACTGTAAGTATAAAATACCATGCAAAGTCAAGAATTAAATGAAATATTGAAATTACTATTAAAGTTCATTTGAATGAACTAGTTGGTAAGCTTTTTTTACCAAAAATTTTTTTTTTGTCTATTTCAGGTAAAGTAACAATAAGACCATGTGAGGACGCCCTTGTTTACGTGAACGGTTCCCAGATAAAAGGTCCTACAGAGCTAAAGATCGGTTCTCGTGTAATTCTCGGGAAGAACCATGTGTTCCGCTTCAACCATCCGATGTTTGCCCGGCAGAGCCGAGCCTTGTTGACCGATACCTCAGACATGCCAAATGGTTAGTGCTCATTTCTAAAATAAAGTGATATTTAACAAGCCTTGTGAACATAGGTAAGCTCAGTAGGGAGATTTTTAATCCAGGGGTCGTTTGTTTGATCCTTGGGCGAAGTGAAATTTCATGATGACAGTTGATGTTGGACATTGTGTCTAATGGTCAGTTATCTATACTCACTGCTAATTTCATGTGCGAATCAGTCACTTTCAGGGAAATTTGTTACTACTGGTTAGTTACCCAGGAAAGCTCTAAAATGGCCCAAAACAGCCGGTTAACACTGCTGATGGCCAACACCTCAGTGTGTCCCTTCTTTGGTTAAGTGGGCTGACTTTCAACTTATGACCAAAATAAAGATGTGCTAAAATCAACATAAAAATAACAGACAAAGAACAAACAAACGCAGAGTCTGGCATTATCGATTTCTTTTTTAGACTTTATGTTTTTGGTAATTATGTAAATGTTAATGATTCCTATAATCCAAAATTTTACAGCCCTAAACTCCTTATCAAGCTCATGGGTTAACTCCTTATCAAGTTCATGGTTTAAAACCATCGGGTGTGGATATTCTTTTTCAAGCATCTTCAATCCTCACTGGTGTGAAACTGATTTGAAAACCAATGGATACATTTTTTACATTAAAGTGAAAATGAACAATTTCTTAAATCTATTTCAGAGCCAGTAGATTGGACATATGCCCAGCTAGAATTGTTAGAGAAACAAGGTGTGGATTTAAGGAAAGAAATGGAGACAAAGTGAGGGAAATTTCTATACATTTATACCCTACATCTGGTGTATTTCTTAATTAGACTGGTCCAAATATGTTTTTGGAAGAGTCAATTGTAAACATATAGCAATATCATGATGAAAATGTGGATGTTTGTTCAGCCAATGAAAGTATATTAAATTATAAATAGACATTTATGGTTTCAATAATTTCAATAATTTGAAGTAATAATTTTGCTTATTTATTAAGCTGTCAAAGCTGTTGCTAATTATAATGTTTAGAAACAACAATGAAGGAATAAAGTTTTTGTGATACATAGTCTATCTCACATGTTTACAGATTGGTTGCCCTGGAGGAACAGTACAGAAAAGAAAAAGAGGAAGCTGATCTGTTGTTTGAACAGCAAAGAAAGGTTTGTCTTATCTTATCACTTATCTTATCACTTATCTTATAACTTATATTATTACTTATATTATCAATTATCATAACACTTATTTTATCACTTATATTATCAGTTATCTTATCACTTATATTATCACTTATCTTATCACTTATATTATCAGTTATCTTGTCACTTATGTTGTCTTATCATTTATCTTATTTCTTATATTATCACTTATCACTAATGTTTTCATTTATCTTATCACTTATCTTATCACTTATATTTTCTTAAATAATTACTTATCACTTTCATTTTCACTGATCTTATCTTATCGCTTGTCTAATTACTTATCTTATTTGCGCTTGTCTTCAGTTTATTTGATCTAAGGCATGACTGATTACCTTAGAGGGAAAATCTTCAACCCTCACATTATTAATTGTATATAATTGACTCGACTTGTCAGAATCTCACAGGATGCTCCTGAATAGAACCACTAACCTTCTGTTGTTAAACTTCCTGTAAAGAATTTGAATTCTGCACCAGGATTTGATCCTACAGCAGCGTGGGGCAAGTGCTTCGCAGTCAGCTAATTTGACCACTCAACAATATTTTCTGTCGCTATCCCTTTCTCTGTCATCACAATAAGTAAACCCCGGAAAAAAATGAGCCAATTAATAGGCATGCTTTGGAGTGCTAGTAAATAATACCTGCACTCCAGTTAACACACTGTGCATGTATGTGTGTGTATACGATATAACTCTGACACATTTTCAACTGAAAGGCAGACCTGGGGATGATTACATTGATCAGTAATTGATTTAATTACAATTACTTTCAGATTTTATTGTAATTGATTACAATTGATTACTCAGACTTGTCTCTGTAATCAATTAAATTACAATTACTTTAAGAAAGTAATTGATTGATAATTGATTACATTCAATGTACAACTATAAACAAAAATTTCTTAATGCTTTTTAATATATACATTATAAACATTATTATACACAAAGGATTTCCAGCTCATCAACAGTCATCAATTTAACACACTTTTAGTTACTGTCACATAACTTTATCATATTTTAGCATTGCACTTGAGCATCATAACTTTATGAAACGGTCTGTCAGTCAGACTGCATCTATCAGGACGGAAAATTTACCCACAACACTAAACAAATGCTCTTCAGGGGCTGATGATGCAGGAATGGTCCTCGGTCTTCTTGGTGTAGGTTTCATAATAAACTCTCACTGTAACAGAAATTTTGATAACTGTCAATTGTACAGTATACTGTATACAGGTGTTAAAACAGGTGTGAAAACAATAATTTTTTGTATGGGAATTCAGAGACAATAGGCTTTACAAAGAAATTATCAATTTTTTACAAACACTTCAATGGTACAACAGTATTCATTATAATATAGACACAATCATTGTCTATCACCTTACAAAATACCTAACTGTTGCATATAATTAAAATATGGTAATTTGCATCTGACATAAACTCTATAATATACAAAGTAAAGAAGTTATCTACATTGTTTGAAACTTTTTAAAACATGGTTAAACCAAAATATGTGAAACAAAATTTAACATACCTTTATGTGGGTAATGGAATTTGAATGTGACTAAGTGTTTCCATTTATATTCCTTGGGCACAATTTGCACTGTGCTGTCACATTTCCAGATGTCTCTTTAGGAAATTCAAAGACATCATAAATTCAATGATATGACATTTTGGTTGGAATACCAGCCAAACAATGATGTCTATCTTTCATTTATAATTTGGTTAACTGTATGGATTAAAACTTATTTCTGCATTGTGAGTGATGTCTTATTAACATCTCACTTGATATTTTACTACCTTTATGGACAATCATTGTTTATTATGACATTTTCTGTTATTTACTTCAAATATGGATATCAATAGATATCAACAATATTCAATAAAAATCAATTTACACTCTACAATTTGTGATCAAAGATCATTAAAAAGAAGTATAAGTTAAAGTTACATGTGAAATAAATATTTTGAATTTCAATAGTTTTATGTAAAATCTGAAAGTAATCAACATCAATCAAATTGTAATCATAATTACAGACTGAATTTAAGCTGTAATTGATTAATTACAATTAATGTAATCAATTTTGAGGAAGGTAATCAATTACATGATGATTACAGTGTAATCATGTAATCAATTAAAAAATCAATGATTACGATTGATGATTACCCCAGGTCTGCTGAAAGGTCCCCAAACTATGATACAAAGTGGGATTAGTAATCGGTCACTGGCAGAGAAATTGGTTATTACTGGTTAGTTATTTAGGAAAACCAGTTACGGTGGATTGATCATTGTGATATATCCAAAAACATGTCCTAAAATCATTGTAAAAATCAAGACAAACACACATAATTATGTCAGTTTCATTTGTCACATGATATAGTTTGTTGTATATTCAGGATTATGAAATTAGAATAAAGAATTTACAAGAGGAAGTGGAGAGACATTCTATGATGTCAAGTGTTATAACAGTGTCTGACCTACAGTCTGAAGAAGAGGCCATGTTACTACAGCAACAAGAAGGTATACTTCTTATTTTAATTTATATAACTTTCTGAATTCTGGTGATGATATTGACTTGGCCTAGGCCTTCAGTATATAGTGCCAGGCCAGCCTGTATAATAATATCTCTAATTTTCGGCCTGTTTAATATTAGTAATATCTATGACTATTTAAATTCTGGCCTTGATATTGGCTTGACATGTGCATAACAAGCAAGACTTCTTAAAGTAGAGGTTGGGAAAGTTTACTTGATAGAGGATTTTTGTTTGTTTTTTAGCGATGATGGTCTACTGTAGTATATTTCATCATAAAACATATGATATAAAGTAGTGTTTTTTTATGTGTAAACAAATAAATATATATACCTATAACTTAATTATTTTCTGTAATAATTTGTCCAAGTAAAATTTGGTTGGAATTTTAATGTGATATTATGAAAATTAGGAACTTAACAATATATAATGCATCATCAGAATGTATTACTGTGTGGGTAGCTAATTGTGCTCATGTCCTTTTTATTTGAGCCACGTCATGACAAAACCAACATAATGGGTTTGCGACCAGCATGGATCCAGACCAGCCTGCCCATCCTGGGCAGTCTGATCAGGATCCAAGCTGTTCGCTATTAGTTTCTGTACTTGTAATAGAGTTTGTAAGCGGACAGCATGGATCCTGATCAGCCTGCGCGGATGCATGCTGGTCGCAAACCAATTATGTTGGTTTTGTCATGACGCGGCTCAATTATTTCACTGATTGATTTTATTTCCCAGAATGCACTTGGACAGATAGAGATTATCAGCTTGCAGCTTGGGGTTTCAGGAAGTGGAAATATCATCAGTTTACATCATTAAGGGTATGTATTCATGTACAGTTATATAAACTATAAAAATATAGGGGAATAGAAATAAAAGAGATGATCTTTGAATTATCCAGCTGATGTGGGGAAAAAAGTTTACTTTTTAAGATTTGGAAGAATCTTTTTTTAGGTATGCTGTTTAAACTTTTATTTATCCTTCCCCCTCCTCTCCCCATGACTCCCCTTCCCACCCTTGGTCCAAGTACAATTATAGACAAAATATAGGGGAAATACAAATAAAAGAGAAGATTTCTGAATTATCCAAATAACAGATGTGGGAAAAATGTGTTGTTTTTTTGTTTTGTTTTTTTAAAGATTAGCAAAATCTTTATTAAGGTATGCTGTTTATATATTTATTGTCAAGGTTAATCTGAGGGTCCATATGTCGTGTTTAATTATAAATCTTATTGTTTTTCTTTTCAGGACGATCTCTGGGGTAATGCTATATTCTTAAAAGAGGCAAACGCAATCAGTGTGGAACTAAATAAAAAGGTATGGTAATATTTTCAAATTACAATAAAATGATACTCATTATATAATGTTACAATAACAAGATAATTGCTATATCATGTGAAAACAACAGTATAATTCTTTTATCTTGTGGAAATAACAGGATATTTGCTATATTATATGACAACAGGATATTTTGTATATCATGATACTCATTACATCATATGACAATAACTGGATAAATGCTTTAACCTTACAAATAAAAGAATTCATGCTATAACATTTTACAAGAAGACAAAAATTTGTTTTGCAGGTTCAATTCCAGTTTGTCCTTTTAACAGACAGCCTGTATTCTCCCTTACCTCCAGACCTGCTCCCGTCAGCTGAGCGTGACATTGCTCGACCTTTCCCAAAAACCGTAGTCGCTGTCGAGGTACAGGACACGAAGAATGGAGCTACACATTTCTGGAGTCTTGAAAAACTTAGGTACACCATATTTATTGCATGCTGCCCAGCATATTATTATATTTATACCATTTTTAATCTTTTTAATCTTTAAATATGACATCAATTTTATGGATATTTTTACTCTGCTTATGTTTGGGTATAATCAACTTTAATGTTTAATAAGAAATCCTGTGTTCTCACATAGACATGATTGTTAGGAATTTAATTGATAATCTAAATGACTGTGTGGTAGGCAGGCTGGATGGGTGTCAGAGATGGGGGCTGGGTGATAGATTGGGGGATTGGGCTTTAAATGCAAGGACTTTAAAGTCAAAAATGTTGTCATTTTACCATAACACTTTTAACCTGCTGAATTTCTTAAATGAACTTGCCAAGCTTTCATTTTTGGGACTGTCCATTATCAGTTTTAGGGATAGCAAGATAAAGAATTAAAGTTATTCAGCCAGCAGGATAGAGCTTGGTCTGGCTGTTAAGACGTGAAGGCTGGCCTGACTCTATTCTGGTAGAAAAGGCTAACTTATGACAATTTTCAGTATAAACTGAGGTGCAATACTATTTTTTTGTTTTTAAAAAATCATATCCGTCTTATAAGAGTGTCTTAGCAAAAGTGCCATTTTTAGACTAAATTAGGACCCCCGTCTTATAAGGGTGCTGACTTACAGGTGAGTTAAGATGGTAAATGCTTTCTGTTCCAGGAGGTTAAGGGTTAAATGGTAAATTTTCATAACAGAGTGTGAAAAATATTTTAAATTTCCTCTGAAATTAATTTTTAGCTTGACTATTCGAAGAATATGAGAGCTATTGTAGTCGCCCCGGCGTCGGCGTCAGCGTCCGCGTCGGCGTCTACGTTGGTTAAAGTTTTTTGTAAAGTCAAATATCTCAATTATTACTTGAGATATTCAATTGAAACTTACAATACTTATTAATAGTAACAAGGTACATCAGATTGACAAGTTGGATAACTCTGCCTACAATATTGACAGAATTATGCCCCTTTTTAACTTAGAAATTTTTGGTTAAAGTTTTTTGTAAAGTCAAATATCTCATATTATTGCTTGAGATATTCAATTGAAACTTACAATACTTATTTATAGTAACAAGGTACATCAGATTGACAAGTTGGATAACTCTGCCTACAATATTGACAGAATTATGCCCCTTTTTAACTTAGAAATTTTGGTTAAAGTTTTTTGTAAAGTCAAATATCTCAATTATTGCTTGAGATATTCAATTGAAACTTACAATACTTATTTATAGTAACAAGGTACATCAGATTGACAAGTTGGATAACTCTGCCTACAATATTGACAGAATTATGCCCCTTTTTAACTTAGAAATTTTGGTTAAAGTTTTTTTTAAAGTCAAATATCTCAATTATTGCTTGAGATATTCAATTGAAACTTACAATACTTATTTATAGTAACAAGGTACATCAGATTGACAAGTTGGATAACTCTGCCTACAATATTGACAGAATTATGCCCCTTTGGAACTTAGAAATTTTGGTTAAAATTTTTTTTGTAAAGTCAAATATCTCAATTATTGCTTGAGATATTCAATTGAAACTTACAATACTTATTTATAGTAACAATGTACACCAGTTTGCGAAATTGCATAACTCTGCCTGCAATATTTGCAGAATTATTTGCCCCTTTAAAACTTAGAAATTTTGGTTAAAAGTTAAAGGTCTTCAAAGATATTTACTGGAAACTTTACACATGCACTTAGGGTCATAATTGGAGGGTCATAATTGTATGTCACTGACCAAGTTCCATAACTCTATCTTGCATAAAGGATGATTCATATCCCCTTTTCTACTTAGTCTCTTGGTTAATGTTTACATGCAAGTTTTACATATCTCAATAATTATTAAAGATATTTATTTAAAACTTCACATATGCATTTAGGGTCATAATTGTAGGTCACTGACAAAGATCCATAATTCTATTTTGCATTTAGGCTGATTTTTCTCCCCTTTTTCAACTTAGAAATTCATGGTAGGGTTTTGCTTGTAAGCTGTTATCTCAATAACTACTGAAGAGTTTGTGCCTTTTTTGGGACACTTTTATGCATTCATAATAATAAATCAGTGATTTATTTGATAAAACATCTTAATAACAAGCCTTTGTACCTTTTCTGTCAAATTTATGTATTCATAGGTAATTAGTATTATTATACTCAATAAAACACCCTTGTGACATTACCTTCCGAATAGTCAAGCCAATACTGTATAATTAGACTCTCTCTAAGGCCTATAACATGAATTTATAAAAAAAAATTAGCCCTTTTGTGAACTTAAAAAATTTAACATTATCAAGGCTCCTTTACTATCAAGCACTAAGAATAGTCGAGCGTGCTGTCCTACCGACAGCTCTTGTTATATGTAACATCTATGATTAAATTCCAGCAGTTTCTATGGGGAGACATTATATTATTGTCGTCTGTAGAAATACAAATAAATCTATGGGAGTGACAATCTTTTCATGTTAGATTATTCAGAACAAAAAGCTTTAATAAAAAAGCCATCATTTTATGTTCTCATTTGAAAAAAGAACAGTAGTGCGGCTTTGCTAGTTTTATAAGATGACTGCCGGCTAAAATGACTTTGTCAGCAAAATGAATATGCTTTTGTCAGCAGAAAATTATGTTGTCAGCAAAAATGTCTCTTCCAGTTAATCAGGTTTATTGTATATTATACAAAAAACAGTAGTTTATAGGAAGATTCATTGTACAGTTTTAGAATAAGACACAAAAATATTTTCTTCTTTTTATGTATGGATTCAATCTTCAACCTTATATAACTTTTAAAAGGAAGAAAGTACCAATAATGCTTAGTGTCAAATTTCCAGTTTATCATACAAGTGTTCTTATCTTTCAATTTTAATCATTACTAAATGTCATAATAATTTCACCTTCGGACATCTGAAATAAAGGACAAGGTCGTCAAATGTGGGAGAGTGAAAATAAAATGTGGTCTTGAATAACCATCATTGATGAGTCATATACTCTGGAAGCAGATGTGGTTATAACATAATGAGCGGCGTCACAACAAAACCAACATAGTGCGTTTGCGACCAGCATGGATCCAGACCAGCCTGCGCATCCGCACAGTCTGATCAGGATCCATACTGTTTGCTCACAGTTTCTCTACTTGTAAAAGTGTTGGTAAGCGAACAGCATGGATCCTGATCAAATTGCGCAGATGCGCAAGCTGGTCTGGATCCATGGTGGTCGCAAACACACTATGTTGGTTTTGTCGTGACACGGCTCAATTATGATACAGTGTGTATAAATAACTCTTTATCGAGGGTAGTGCTAAGATATAAGGAAATAAAACACCCATCACAATGTATATCCCCCAGGGGAAGTAACTGTAGGCAGTGAGACTAAAATGTGTGTTTGTAATTTATACTTTATAATCTACATGGATTGGGTGTGTCACTCTAGACATCCTTATTTCCGTCTGTACGCATGTCCACTTGTCCCTCACCACTGCGGATTCGAATCCCTTTACAGGTCTTTGGGTTCTTTGATGTGAGGAACCTATTGGGATAGCTTATTGGAATGTCAGTGGTTCTACTCCGGTGCTTGCTTATGCCTGAAATAATGTCCAAATGTGCACATGAGATCTTGTGCCACCAATATAAGCTGGAAAATCACCTACATATGATCATTACAGTTATGGTGTGACTTGAAATCCATAAAAGCCAAAGATAATAAAAAAATACATGTGAATTATCTATATTTAGAATATAAGAGTGTTGGAAATCGGTTGTTTTGCTATATTTCATGCACATTTTGTATCTGATCAAGATATAAGAATTTATGCACTGATAGTTTTGTACTAGCACATATAAGTAATACAGTGTTTATGATTTTAACTGATTGACTGGATTTAGTGGTTTGTTAATAATAAAATTAATCCAGGCAAGATTTTAAGCAACCATTCGTGATATTGTAGTAAATAATGCAGAACTACATTTGAGCCGCGTCACGACAAAACCAACATAGTGGGTTTGCGACCAGCATGGATCCAGACCAGCCTGCGCATCTGTGCAGTCTGATCAGGATCCATGCTGTTCGCTTTCAGTTTCTCTACTTGTGGTAAGTTGGTAAGCCAACAGCATGGATCCTGATCAGACTGCGAGGATTTTGTCATGGCACGGCTCATTTTACAGTTTGTTTTAGTGACAGTTAAATATGCAGACAAAATATTCATTGTTAAATAAAAATTGTGAAGAAAAAAAAGTGATAAAAAAAGACATTTTAAATGATTTTTCATAGGCAAAGTTGGGATTCTCTTTTGAAAAAAAAATGACAAAAAAATCATCTGTCTCATGGCACAAACTTCAATCTTTATTTTTTTTTGTTTTATCAAATTTTAAAGCAGGTATGTCAAAGATTGAGCTATATTTTAAAGTACATTTTATTTGTATAGAAAATTTCTATCTCATATTCTATGTAAACATAACATGAGAAGTTTCCACTTTGGAATTCATTGTAAATTATGCAGGTATGAGTTCCAACTTTGTCTTTAAATTTTCATTTTGTCTTTTTTTCCTAATTTTTTTTTTCTTGGATATTTCTGCTACTTTTTTCTGCAATTTTTATCTGCAATTTTTTTTTCAAATATTTCATTGAGTGTTGTACAAAGAACATTTTTTTTTATTCCAGATTGTTTCTTTTGAATGAGCATTTTTTTTTTACCTAACAGTTTACTAATAAAAATTTACTAATGCTAATTCAAAGTACATTTCATATATTGTGTGAAAAATAAAAAGCTATAAAAAAAAGAAAACTAAAACAATTTCTTAGCACAATAAATAATCAATTAAACAATCTACTAACTGAATAACAATACGTTTTTAGACACCGGTTGGAACTCATGCGTGAAATCTACAATGACGACCTTTCACCGGACACACCGGAAGCTAAACAAGATTTCTTCCATTGCTTGTCTGGCTGTGGAAACCAGAATTATTTCAATTTCATCAACCTTATTCCATCTAGGTCGGTCTATCGTTGTTGTCGGCTTTCTTTTATGTCACACAAAAAATTCTTCTTGTGTCACTCCAAATTCTTCGTGTGTCATGCAAATTCTTCGTGTGTCACACAAAATTGTCTATCTTTGTACATATTTTGTTTTGTTTTTCAGTAGATATTGTAATGCTTTCATTACAAGAAACAAAATGTTTATTTTCATTTTCTTGTGTTTTTTCTGTTATTGGCAGTTTTGTGTATTATGTTTTGTTTGGCTTATTCTACCTCTAGCTAGACTGTTCAAGGAAAAGTGGAGTAATTGTTATTCTGTTCACCTTGGCAGCTATTTTTATCCTCAGTATAACCCTTGTATTAAAATTTTGCTTTCAACTTCATAATAATGTTATCTGGATATTTGAAAGTGTTCTCTTGAACCCTTGGAATCATTATCAAGACAAATAACTCTTGCTTGGACTTGTATAGAGTTATTCCCCTTTGTAAGCTTATGGAAATTTCATAGTCCTTGTTAGACAATCCAACACTTAGAATAGTCATGATATCTGTCTGTCTGATAGCTTTTGTTAATTTTTTTGCATATTTTCTGGCCGATGTAAATGTTAACTGGCAAGATATACTGATTTCTAAAAATATGCACATGTTGTTTTCATGTTGTCAAGGAAAGAGTTTTTAATAAAACTTGACCCCGGGTTACTTAACTTTCAAAGGCACGTGAATAAGTCATGAAAATAGAATAATATACATTGTATTTTCTAACATAATAGATCTATATAATTATAAACTTAAATTTCAATTACCGGTGATTTAGTGATTAATGCCCATAATATTATGAATTCTCTTTTTATTTACAACCTTATTTTTCATCATGAAGTACATTTTCCTGTTACTTTTATTTCACAAAAACTTTAAATTTTTGTTGTCTTGTTGCCATATACATATATATATAACTCATCATTGCTTCTTTTGCTTTATTGGTATTGATATAATTACAGTAAATTTATATTTTGTATGGAAGTCAAAATACATGTACTACTTGTGTACTACTATTTACATTTTGCTGCCTTTACAGTTAATTACTGCACATTCATTGCTTTTTTCTTTAGCATTGCTAAAACGTTAATAAACACATTTTAAACATTTCTAAAGATTTCTTTAATAAATATGGATTTCTTTAAAAAAAATATGGATACCTGTAATAAATATGGATTTCTGGGGCAATATATGTGCCTAAGTCAAATATTCTGTATATACTCTTTTAAAATGCTCACAGGCATTACATTTTCCAAAAGTGGGGAGGCAGCAATTAAGTCTCCTTAGTGCAGTTATTAGGGTTAACTCATTTTAAATTTTAATAACCTGTTTAACTGCTCTAATGATTTATAATAAGGTCCCAGGGTGAATTATTAGAGAATATATGATAATTATTTTGCTCTTTATTAATTTGGGTGTGCTTATTTTACAGTTATTGTGTGATATTTATAATTTCAGCTTGTGAGTTTTTGTAACTTCTACATATTTGTATATTTTGGTTCCTTGTAATAAATATTTTAAATTACATAATGGAATATACTGTAATATGCATGAGTAGAGCTTGTTAAGTCACCATGTTATGTCTAAAATATATATTTATATGGTATTTAGTAGTATTAATGTTACAAAAATATTATGGAAATGAATTTAAACTTCAAAGACTTTCCTGTTTCTGTGTTGAAAATAGGTTTAGGTAAAAAAAACCTTGGTCTCTGCTAGTAAAGCTGCTGAAAAGTCAACATATGATATTGGTATGACTTGAAAATTCAATGGCCACTCTCCACATGAATGTGTGTGTGTATTATAGGCCTAATGACGGTCGGACTCCAATTCTTCATGATCAAATAGCGAGGATGTGCCAGCAAATCTTGGCCTGCCTTTGTTGCACAAGTAGATTCTGTAAGAGCTTATGAAATCATGACAGTTTATCACTTAATATTTAAGCCTTGGTAAAATCAAACAGGATAAGTAGAAATATAAATTATTATGAATCTTTTACAGACAAAGACTTGAGTTAATGCGTGAAATGTACAATAACGAGGCAGAGCTTTCACCGACGTCACCGGAACATCCGAACATTGATACAATGACCGGAACTGATCCATTCTACGACAGATTTCCCTGGTTTAGGCTTGTTGGAAGGTACTTTTAGTATAAACAGTTTTTGTATTTATAATTTGGAAATTTGGCCCATCCCAACTGTTTCCAGTTAACCATAACCGGAACTTATTAGTTCTATGACAGATTTCCCTGGTTTAGATTTGTTGGAAGGTACTTTTGGTTTAAACATTTATTGTATTTACTGGTATATTATAATCCTGAAATTTGGCCAGTCCCAACCATGAGCGGAACTGATACATTCTACGACAGATTTCCCTGGTTTATGCTTGTTGGAAAGTACTTTCGTTGTTAACAATACTGAATTTGTTTTGATCCGTAAAATTTTGGTCAGTCCCAACCATATCCGGTTTAGTTAGTTTTTACTGTATATGTTATTTTATAAATATGATAAATATCATCTTATTGATTCAGTACAGAATGTTTATTGACTATTGATTGCATTGGAATTCCCCTGCTTATAATCTATAAAAAATTAACAGCATCTATAATTATAAAACATGCATTACGTTATTTTGTATTTTTTTCAGATCATTTGTATATTTGAGTAACTTATTCTACCCAGTACCTCTTACACACCGTGTCGCCATCGTTAGCGAGAAAGGCGAGGTGAAAGGTTTTCTACGAGTGGCTGTACAGGCCGTGCTCTCTGGTAAATAAAATCATGTTAAAATTAAATTTTCTCGTTTACTTTCTCGAGACTCATTAAAGTAAATGTTGATTTTATTTGTGCCAAGTTTAGATTCATATTTCTTGAATCACTCATATGGAAAGGCATGAGATGTCATGTGTACCAGTTGGTGTGTGTAATAGCTTTAAATTGCTTAACATTTTATTGATTGGAATAATTTTCTCGATACTGCTGTTCATTTAAATCTTTTGAATCAACCTTGAATTTTCTATGTGACAAAAGTTGTCTTGTTTGTAAAGACAGATTGATTGTTTGTTTATTTAGTTTTTAATCCAATTTTAACATATTTTTCGGTAGTCATTCTACCTAACCGACTCCTGCATAACTAACCAGTAATTACCTGTACCAATTTCTCAGAAAGTTATCGACTATTAATTCCACATGATTTCTTAGTCAGAAATGAGAGACGAATGACAACAAGACTAGGTTTGAGATCAATTTGTCATAGAAAAATTCGCCTTGCCTTAGGATCACTCCAGCAATCCAGGGATTATAAATCTGATGCTCTCACAGTTGAGCTAAGCAGGCAAACCTGATAAGTCTATCAATACCCCCTGTTGTGCCTGAAATAACTCTGGGTTTTGTGTCAGGACTCTGTATGAATGTAAATGACCATATACAAAATTGATTGTAAATGACCGTAACAGTATTGGTGTATCCAAAATTAATGTTGTAAATGACCGTAACAGTATAGGTGTATCCAAAATTTATTGTAAATGACCGTAACAGTATTGGTGTATCCAGAATTGATAGTAAATGACCGTAACAGTATTGGTGTAGTAAATGACCGTAACAGTATTGGTGTATCCAGAATTTATTGTAAATGACCGTAACAGTATTGGTGTATCCAGAATTGATAGTAAATGACCCTAACAGTATTGGTGTAGTAAATGACCCTAACAGTATTGGTGTAGTAAATGACCCTAACAGTATTGGTGTAGTAAATGACCGTAACAGTATAGGTGTATCCAAAATTGATTGTAAATTACAACAACAGTATTGGTGTATCCAAAATTGATTGTAAATGACCGTAACAGTATTGGTGTATCAAAAATTGATTGTAAATGACCGTAAAAGTATTGGTGTATCCAAAATTTATTGTAAATGAGAGTAACAGTATTGGTGTATCGAAAATTGATTGTAAATGACCGCAACAGTATTGGTGTATCAAAAATTGATTGTAAATGACCGTAAAAGTATTGGTGTATCCAAAATTGATTGTAAATGAGTGTAACAGTATTGGTGTATCCAAAATTTATTGTAAATGACCGTAAAAGTATTGGTGTATCCAAAATTTATTGTAAATGAGTGTAACAGTATTGATGTATCCAAAATTGATAACCCTTTGCAACCAGTATAGAGCCAGCTCAGCATGGGCATCCATGCAGTTTGGTCAAGGCTCCTTACTGTTGAATTAGTTTTTATCTTGATATCCCTTAAATTGATAATGAACAGTTCCAAAACAAGTCCATTTAAAGAAAAACCCAGCAGATTGAAGGGATAATTGCCTGTTTTGTTTCAAAATGTGTGTGTTGTTCTACTTTTAGACATGTTCTATTTTTAGACAAAGAAGACACACCTGAATATGGATCTGGAATAAGACAATCTAGTAATGCCAAAATTACCTTTAATGATGATGAGTACTTTCAGAAGGTAGGTAATCCATGCAAGAAATTTGAGATGATGTGTTTTTAATATTTTTTAATTGAATTATAGAAGTTATTTTTACATAGCTGTGATTATTTTTAGAATGAAACTTCTCATGACAGAGAACAAAAAAATATTTTCATGACAGAGAACAAAAACATATTTCTGATTTTTTTTTTAATCTTTGCACTGTCTCGGCTATAAGTCAGAATTTAAAGACTGTGATAGAGAAACTTTCTCAGGGGAGGCGACTTATAGCCTTATAGAACATGAAAATACTTATAGTGCAATAATTATAAACACAATTTTCATCCATGTAACAGAATTTTTTTTCTTTCAAGTATGTAATTATTTTCTTAACATTATTTAAAGATGTGGAGGTTTTTTTCCATCTCAGCATAATTGTGAAACACTTATCTTAGAAAATTATCTTTTTATTAAGTTTTTATATGAAGATAAATCATTTTCATCAGCCACACTTGACAATTTTTCAAAAACAACATTTAGATTTGTTTTACATTTTCATCTAAATATTTCTTCTTTTTTTTTTTTTTTTTTTTTTTTTTTTTTTTTTTCCCAATGATTTACATAGCAAATTAAGCTATTAATATTTGTACTGTATTATTAATTAGTTACAATCAATATCTCAGAAGATGTTAAGCATGGGACAAACCATGGTGAAAAAGACGCCAGTCTCCTCCACCGAGGAGCTGAGGATAGTGGAGGGCGAGGGATCCCTCCCTGACAACGTGGACGGTAATGGTGCGTACTCTAGTTCTGGAAAAATTAATTTTATTACATGTATTTACACTTTTAACTCGCCTGATCAAAAGTGGTCAAGTTAAGCATGATGACTTAGTGTGCCAGGCGCAAGAATCTTGAGTGTAACTCAACAGTCATGGTTACACTTTAATGTTAAATGTAAAATAATAATCTAAGACATTTTGTCAGAACAATTTTATTCATAAACTTTGGCACACTACTTACAGCAATTAACATTCAACACCAGTGTGGCATTATAAATTATTTACTGTATGAGATGATATGTCATGCATAAGAACCGTGTATGTAACTCAAAGGTCAAGGTTTCTCTAAGGTCAGTGGTTAAGGTCAGTTTGTCTGAACAGTTAACTCATTTTCATTTTAACACAGGAGTATAAAATAACTTTGTTCAAATGTTAGATTTTTTTGTACTGAAAATAAAAAGAACACTTCAATAAAACATGTACATTATATATTTATTCGTAATTAAAGAAACTTGTGACTGATATTATTTTTTTCTCGAATTGTAGTAGAAAGTGAGAACACGGAAGAGAAGAAATTAAAGACTGATACCGACTCGTTCCCGGATATAGATATTAATGAATTACCGAACCATCTAAAGATCGGCTCTACACTGCAGTTCCGAGTCACCCTTCTACAGGCATCCGGTATATCGCCAGAATATGCCGACATTTTCTGCCAGTTCAAGTAAGTTGTCTGCAAGATAGATTTTCGTAAATATTCTTTTGGTTGTGTAATAAATAAAAGGGAATAAGTTGATTATGTTGATGAAATTTTAATGTTTAGTATTTCAGAAGTATTTCATTTATTATTTGTCTGTTTTGCCAAAGAAAAAGTCAAGCTATCAGTAATGCTTACCCAACAAAGAAATTCTAACATCAGCCAATATCGTAGCAAATCAGTTATTTCTGGAATTTTATTTTTTCAAAATCTTGGGCATTAGATTATTTACAATCACTCATCCTTTATGGCTATGTACTAAATTCTGATTATAAACTGTTAAAAATAATTGACCACCGAAAATTGTGAAAAATAATGTTCCGGAAATGACTGATTCTTTACGATATTGGCCGATGTTGGAAATTTTTTTGTGGGAAAGTATTACAGTATGACTACCTTAAGATTATTATTTGAATTTTAACTTCCCACTTGATATCATTTGAAAGTATTGTTTTTAGAGGAATTAAAATATTGTTTTTAGGGAATTTTGTAATTACCTACCTAAGTTATAACTATTGTATGTGTAAACTTTTTCTTTCCAGTTTCTTACACAGGCATGATGAGGCATTTTCCACTGAACCTCTCAAAAATACGGGTAAAGGACCACCATTAGGTTTCTACCATGTTCAAAATGTAAGTGTACCCTGATAAAGGGCAGTTACTGTCATACTGATGTATGAAATAAGGGGCAGCAACTCTGACCATTGTTGTCCGATGTAAAGGGAGACAACTCTTCCTAGTTTTGTGTAATAAGGAGTTTAGCTAAAGAAAGGATGGTATTTGTAGTCTTCAACCTAAATATAGCATTGAAAACATTTAATTTATAGGAAAATTACTGCAGTTGTTCTTTTTTTAAATGATTGTGAAATCGTATTGAACATGATTTAGATTATTCAGCTCAGGGAGAAAATCTATCAGTATATCTTTTAAGCCATAACCTACTGAATTTCTTAAATGGACTTTTCCGGTTTCCATTTTTGGAACTGACCATTATCAAATGGGGGATATCAAGATGAAAATCTAAAAAATTCAGCCAACAGTACAAAGGTTGGTAACTTCCGTTTCAAGCAGGTTACCCGGTAATGGTTAAAACATTTCTTGATTCTTGAATTTATTTGATATATAGCTAAGACCTTGTTGTTCATTTTTGCTTGTACATTTAGGCTCGATTACATTTTGAAATGAAGTTTGGTTATGAGTTAATTTAACTACATGTTTATTGCTGTATTTCTTTTTACTCCAGTTTACTGTGACTGTAACCAAGTCATTTATAGACTATATAAAGAATCAGCCTGTGGTGTTTGAAGTGTTTGGACATTACCAACAACATCCTCTACATGAACAGGCCAAAGATTCTAAACAACCTTTGTAAGTCTTGATTGTTGATTTAAACTTCATAATATGAGCCGCATCACGACAAAACCAACATAGTGCGTTTGCGACCAACATGGATCCAGACTAGCCTGCGCCAACGCAGGATCCATGCTGTTCGCTTCTTTACCTACAGTTTCTTTACTTGTTAAAGGGTTTGTAAGCGAACAGCATGGATCCTGATCAGACTGCGCGTAGGCGCAGGCTGGTCTGAATCCATGCTGGTCGCTGACACACTATGTTGGTTTTGTCATGACGCGGCTCATATATATATATATATATATATATATATATATATATATATTATATATATATATATATATATATGGGCTTAACAAAATCAGTAGCAAAACACAGAAAAAATGGGATATAGGAGATGCAAAACGACCAACACCAGGGTAGGTTTAACTGCTTTTAATGATGGTCTACAGGTTTCGGTCTCACTAAAGACCTTCTTCAGGACAATTTTACATTGAAAATATATAGCTAAAGTACACAAAATGATCGGATATGTAAATGACGTATGTTACTATATATAGTAACATGAACGTTCTGGTAATTGGCACTGTGCCAAGTCCTTGGTTAGTTTATTGATGAGACAGTTTACACGTGCATTTGTCGTTCTTCTGGAAAATTCCGTAGATGTTGCCAATGTTAATGATTAGTTCGTTGCTTTCGCTATTTTGTCCATATTCGTCTCTACAGAGAGTTGTATCATGGAGAGTTTTATTTGGTGAAACTATGGGTGTAATAAGATCTAGTACCTGGATTTTACAGTCCTCAACGTCCTCTTGTTTGGGTTGTTTTGTTTCTGTTCTTGGATTCTTTCCTTCAATGATCCTAAATCTAGGGGTCACTTTATAATTCAATTCCGGATCATACTTCTCCACTGTTGGTTTTGGTGTTCTATTTGCTCTCTTTGGTTGTTGTAGCTCCACTTCCGTCATATGCATAGATTTTCTTGCATGCCGTTTGAGGTTAGATTTACTGGAAAATGTTTTTAGGCACCAACTACACTCGTATTCTGTTTTTAGCTCACCTGTCACAAAGTGACAGGGTGAGCTTTTGTGATCGCTTTTCGTCCGGCGTCCGTCCGTCCGTCCGTCCGTCGTCCGTCCGTCGTCCGTCGTCCGTCCGTAAACTTTTGCTTTAAATGACATCTCCTCATAAACCACTGAGCCAATTTCATCCAAACTTCACAGGAATGTTCCTTTGGTGGTCACCTTTAAAAATTGTTCAAAGAATTTAATTCCATGCAGAACTCTGGTTGCCATGGCAACCGAAAGAAAAATCTTTAAATATCTTCTTTTAAACAACCCTAAGAGCTAGAGCTTAGATATTTGGCATGAAACATCTTCTAATGAGTGTCTACCAAGTTTGTTCAAATAAAAGCCCTGGGGTCAAAATTGGCCCCGCCCCGGGGGGTCATTGATTTTCCCTATATGCATATAGTAAAAACTTAAAAAATCTTCTTTTAAAGAACTGTATGAGCTAGAGCTAAGATATTTGGCATGGAACATCTTCTAGTGAGTGTCTACCAAGTTTGTTCAAATAAAAGCCCTGGGGTCAAAATTGGCCCCGCCCCGGGGGGTCATTGATTTTCCCTATATGCATATAGTAAACACTTAAAAAATCTTCTTTTAAAGAACTGTAAGAGCTAGAGCTTAGATATTTGGCATGAAACATCTTCTAGTGAATGTCTACCAAGTTTGTTCAAATAAAAGCCCTGGGATCAAAATTGGCCCCACCCCAGGGCGTCATTGATTTTCCCTATATGCATAAAGTAAAAACTTAAAAAATCTTCTTTTAAAGAACCCAAAGAGCTAGAGCTTAGATATTTGGCATGAAACATCTTCTAGTGAATGTCTACCAAGTTTGTTCAAATAAAAGCCCTGGGGTCAAAATTGGCCCCTCCCCAGGGGGTCATTGATTTTCCTTATATGCATATAGTAAAAACTTATAAAATCTTCTTTTAAAGAACCCAAAGAGCTAGAGCTAAGATATTTAGCATGAGACATGTTCTAATGGGTGTCTACCAAGTATGTTCAAATAAAAGCCCTGGGGTCAAAACTGGCCCCGCCCCGGGGGTCATTGATTTTCCTTATATACATAGCAAAAACTTAAAAATCTTCTTTGAAAAAACCCAAATAACTAGAGTTTAGATATTAAGCATGAAACATCTTTAAGTAAATATCTACAAAGTTTGTTCAAATAAAAGCCCAGGGGTCAAAACTGGCCCTGCCCGAGGGGTGTCATTGTTTTTAACTATATGTGTATAGTAAAAACTTAAAAAATCTTCTTTTAAAAAACCCAATGAGCTAGAACTTAGATGTTTTGCATGAAACATCTTCTTATGGGTGTCTACCAAGTCTGTTCAAATAAACAAATAAAAGCCCTTGGGTAAAAAATTGGGCCGGGGGGGGGGGGCTATATACAGGTGAGCGACCTCAGGGCCATCATGGCCCTCTTGTTTCTTTTTCAGTTTGATCATGTTTCTTCTTGTGTTTGTAAAACATGGAGGATGTTGTCGAGATATATCCACATATGTCACATAGTCTCATGAAGTTGGCTGTACTTGTCCTCTTCTGTTTCTTACGTGATATTCTGTCCCATACTGCTGGCTCTTCATTGATTTCCGCATTTATGTCATCTGTCGTAGCTTTTCTAGCTGTATATACTTCCATATTTGATTTACTGAATGATATTTAAACCTTCTGGTTGTTTGGTTTTCAAAAGACGTATCCAAACTTCTTCGGTTCTAAGTCTGACGTTCGTGTTTTTTGTTGTTGTTTGTATTATGACGACGTTCATGTTCGTGACGTCGTGCGTCAAAAAGTGGCGGGAAACCGGTTTCACGTTGTTTTTAGCGCGTATATCAGCTGAATGTCCATAGAGCCTGTCTCTAAATGAGTTACCAGATTGGATATTGCATTTCTTACATGTAATCAAATATATAATACTCGTACTTTTGCATGTATAATTGCCTTTGATCTCGTAGGTTTTATTCGTTTGCGAGCTTTTGAATTCCTTACATTTGGCCATAAATGGGCATGCATAACATTTTTCGCCGCACGGGTAGCTTCCGCTGATTTTTGAGGGTACCTGTAATGATGATCTAACAAGAATCGATTTAAAATCAGTAGCAACGTATATTTTCATTCAATTTTTTTTTTTAATGTTTATCCTTTACTAAATTTATCTTAAATCTGTCTAGGAAAGAAATGGATTTATAATCCAGAGGTAATTGGTTAGATCCTAGGGCAAGCAGATATGTCCATAACCACCGAATTTTTCACTGCTTATCGAGAAATCATGTCGTATTAGTTGTCTGTCACTTGCAAAGTTGTTGCTGTTTATTTGTTAATTATTTATCCAGGAAAGCCGGTTAGGTAGACTGACCACCAAGATATGGCAAAATATGTGATATAATTGACCTAAATACCAGAAAAGCAAGTAAACAGAACTTGACTAAATCATGGATTTTAGCATGAAATGAAAGGATCCATTTTACTTTGAACAGTAAAAAGAATATAATGTTGTATTTAGAACAATAAAAAGTAATTAAAAAGGTGAACTTGAATTTAACCTTTTTTCGTAGTATATACTGTTTCAAAGTTAAAACAAATTTTTTTAGAGTAAAGAAAGTGCATGTTTGTATTTTACAGTATAAGACGACAGTCATCTAAGAAACATTTTCCGATGTTACTTCCGATATCCAAACCTGTACCATCACCAAAGTTTGGTGTTATAACACCACCAAGGTAACAAGTTGGTTGTGTTGTTGTTGTTGTTGTTTTCATCTCTCCTCTGATTTGTCTTGACCATACTTTTTTAATTAATTTTCATTGTAAATTGTCTAGATATAGTAATCTTTGGTAACTTTTTTTAAAATATATTTTTCTTTATTTTGTGGCCTAAGTTCAGTATATTTATTATCTGTGTTTGTAAATTAAATTTTATTTTCTACTTCTAAAATTAGTTAGTCTCTCCTGAAACTTGCAAACAAATCTTAAAATCATGTTTGTAAGTCTTTTGTAGTTAGTGAAATTGATTGAAATCTTTTGATCCTTTTGTCGTGATTTGTGATTTAAAGAATTATACCAGTCTAAGTAAACAGTCTAATGATTGGATGATATTTAGACAATCAGAAATCAACCAATCAGAGCTTGCAACATTGTAGAATGGTTTTCAATTTTTTTTTTTTTTTTATAACCCCCGCACAACAAAGTTCATGGAGGTTAGTCGTGATTAGAAGATGACCTCTATTGATTTTGAGGTCACCAGGTCAAAGGTCAAGGTCACAGGGGCCTCAACTTCAAAAAGCTTGTCCGCCAAAATAACTTAAGATTCCTTTGACCCACAGTCTTCATATTTGGCATGGAGGTTAGTCATGATTAGTAGATGACCCCTATTGATTTTGAGGTCACCAGGTCAAAAGTCAAGGTCACAGGGGCCTCGACTTCAAAAAGCTTGTCCGCCCAATAACTTAAGATTCCTTTGACCCACAGTCTTCATATTTGGCATGGAGGTTAGTCGTGATTAGTAGATGACCCCTATCGATTTTGAGGTCACCAGGTCAAAGGTCAAGGTCACAGGGGCCTTGACTTCAAAAAGCTTGTCCGCCCAATAACTTAAGATTCCTATGACCCACAGTCTTCATATTTGGCATGGAGGTTAGTCGTGATTAGTAGATGACCCCTATCGATTTTGAGGTCACCGGGTCAAAGGTCAAGGTCACAGGGGCCTTGACTTCAAAAAGCTTGTCCGCCCAATAACTTAAGATTCCTATGACCCACAGTCTTCATATTTGGCATGGAGGTTAGTCGTGATTAGTAGATGACCCCTATCGATTTTGAGGTCACCAGGCCAAAGGTCAAGGCCACAGGGGCCTTGACTTCAAAAAGCTTGTCCACCCAATAACTTAAGATTCCTTTGACCCACAGTCTTCATATTTGGCATGGAGGTTAGTCATGATTAGTAAATGATCCGTATTGATTTTGAGGTCACTGGGTCAAAGCTCAAGGTCACAGGGACCTTGTCAAAATAAAGCTTTTCCCCTCAATTGCTTCAGAATGCCTGTCCAGAGTGTATTGATTTTGACATTTTCACATTTGAAGCATGTAGAATACATAACTTAGCAATGCACTGGCTTAGTAACCTCAGATTTGGCAGGGAGTTGTCCTTGAGTTCTAAATGGCCACTGTTGATTCTGACAAAGTGGTATGCGGGGGTATTCACGCCATGATAGTGGCAGTTCTAGTTTTTTCAAAACTTGAGAATAAAAACTGTAAATATGTCATATACATGCACTTTAAACATATTTGTAATAGTGAACAGTTAATGGAAATGTTGTGGCTTATTTGTGGGAAATATTTGCTTATGTGATGTTGAAAGCTATTATTTTATGTGATATTTAAAGCTGTAAATTATAGGTACATGTATAATGGCAATTTGTGCTGTAACAAAATTTGTATGAACTTAAAATTTAAATCTAAGATATTTTAGGTAATCTTTTGCCATGCTCATTTGAAACAGGAATTTTCTGTAGTTGTTCAAAAACATCAACATCTACCATACTAAATATCTTAAATGGACTTCAATATGGTCAAGATTATTCATAATTTTTAGGGAAATTTTCAAAAAATATTCACTGACTTAATAGCAAACAGTGGAGACTATGATCAGATGGCACAGGTGTGCTGGCTGATCTTTGCTGGCACTGGTTACATGGGTAAAATCTGTTGCCGCCAGCGGGTCTCTGGCTCAGGTGAACTTTCAATATTGCCATTAAAGTCTGGGTCAATGTTGTTTTTCATTATTGTTTATCCACCTTTTTCTTATTTTCAATATTACCACTGTTGTTTATTTATATTTATTTTCACCACTGTTGTTTATTTATTGGTTTTTATCACAATTTTATGTTGTATTTTCACATTGTCTATAGGGAGAAATGGAAAGAAAAGTTTAAAAGTCCCAGTAAACTTATAATGGACATCAGCAGGGCTAAAGGAGAAGAGTAAGAAACGATCTTTCAAAAAAACTTTCACCTAAATTCATCAACTGAATAGGCCCCATAACTCTTTTTTGGAATTTTTTCTTTTCCAGAAATTTTCAAGAAAGATAACTCTAATATTGACTTGGAATTGAATTATTCCCCATTTTGAAGTTAGAAAATCTCATTCTATTATTTCTAAATTTCTTATGTCTGCAACCAATGAAGGTTATCATTTGAAACTTCATGCTAAATGTCTTGTAAATCTTGATTGAAGGTTACTGACCAAGGGCCATCACTCTTGTGTTGCTCAGTATTCCTTTATTTACAAATGAGCCGTGCCATGACAAAACCAACATAAAAATGGGTTTGCCACCAGCATGAATCCAGACCAGTCTGTGCATCCGTGCAGTCTGATCAGGATCCATGCTGTTCGCTATCAGTTTCTCTACTTGTTATAGGGTTTGCAAGCGAACAGCATGGATCCTGATCAGACTGCACGGATGCGCAGACTGGTCTGGATCCATGCTGGTTGCAAACCCATCATGTTGGTTTTGTCATGGCACAGCTCAAATATATATTTCTAAAAGCATTATTTATTATTTCATTATTGACTGAATAGCAAACAGTGCAGACCATGATCACAGATGTACCGGCTGATGTTGGTCTGCACTGGATGCATGGATAAATAAGAAGGCTTAGAATTTTTGTGTCACCTCTACAAAGTAGTGGCCACATACAGGGATCAAATTTTCAGTTGATGGATTTAGGTATCGATTTATCAGAATTTATTAACATTTTACTATTAACAGTGATTTTTTTGTGAATAGATGTTTGTTTTCTTGGACTAACTTTTGATTAGTTTTTTTTTTTGGATTTTAACAAATTTGTTTTTGATTTAATAGAAATTGTTACAGTTCAGATTTATAACTTATTTATATAAGCTAAGTTATTACTTTATCAGTCTGACTTATGTATATTCTTAATTCTATTGAATTCCTAAAAGGGGTGTAAAGCTTATAATATCTGATGAAATATTTTTTATCAAACATATAAACATTAAAATAATAATGTTTCCATCATTGTAAAGTTCTGGTCAATTCTGGAAAGAGTTGTAACATAGAATATCTCTGTTCTTTAACACGCATGAACATTTTATGTAAACAGAATAAAATGTTTGGGAACAAAAACACTATAAACAGGTTATTAACCTTTGAGCATTATCATGCATGCAAAGAAATGTATTAACATAATTATTTTGTTCATATGAAAATATATCATAAGATACAACTTTATACCTTTAAAGTAAGTAATAAAGAAAAGAAAAAAGGGTGCAATACTGAAGCATGGGCATTTTTATTAACTAGGGATGTGGAAGAAGCAGAGTAAATATTTCAAACTTTAACTAACCCATTAACAGCCCCAGTATGACATAAACTTCTCCTTCACTCCTATATACAAATGTATAATACCGTATATATATGTTTGTAGTGTGTTTTTAGTTCTAGATATACAGTGTAGTATGCATAATGTGTGCATGTACTTTCATGTACGTCATCCATATTTTGTAGTTCTTTTTTAAAATTGTTCACTAAGTAATCAACTTTTGTGCAAACTTCAATCGACATCATTTTTACCGCCATCAATTGTTATCTTTTGTACTAACTTCAGTCGTTATCTTTTATACCAACTTCAATCCTTATCTTTTGTACCAACTTTTTAATGCTTATATAAGTTTGTATCTTTCCAACAACTAAAAGGTTTTTATCGACTAGCACCGTTCTCTGTCACCTACCCCAACCACCCTCACCCCCACCCCTCCTCACCCCTCCTCTCCTCCTCCATGAACCGCCTCCGTGGTCGAGGGGTTAGAGTCGATGACTTCTAATCCAGTTACCTCTCTGGCGTGGGTTTGGTCCCCGGGAGATGCTTTGGTAGTTTAGCGCGGAGGAAGGTAGTTTAGTACTGGTGTAACTCTCCAGGAACGATGGTTAGGAAACTACCCGCCTATATGACTGAAATACTGTTGAAAAAGGCGTAAAATGAAACAAACAAACAAACAAACATCCTCCTCCATGTTTTGTTCATAAATTATACTACCCAAAGATGTTTTGCATCCACTGCTTCCTAACTAAAAGATTGGGAATTTTCCTAACCATACACATTTGTTAACAAAGTCAACAAATCTTATACAAATGTTTACAAGGATGTTTTAAAATTTTAGTATTTGATCAGTAAAAGCAGAGTTATAGCCCTTGCATTCAGTCAATATCAATGCATTATTATAATACACATGATGACACATACAGAAGCATACGATTGTGGCTGGTGGACACACTTCTTCTAGTTCATCTTAGTTTAATCTGCAGTATTATTAGTTATAAAGATTTTTGACAGGTTTTATGGCCCTATATAAACGTTTGTTTGGAATAGCAGCTTTGGTTTTATATTGCAAACAACCATGTATATAAATTATGGTCATATAACCTATCAGGAATATTTATATAACCTATCAGGAATATTTATCACGTATTTATGATACTGCAAGCTTCCTCTTTAGAGAGTCTTGTATATAAAGCTATATAAACATCTGAATTATCCAATGAAAAGGGACATTATGTAAATTATTTTATTTCATGAAAGTAAAATATGTGCATTTGTCTGCATATTTGTTAACTGTCGGTATCTTACACATATCTCCATATTTCAGTTAAAATTGCACAAAAGTTATAATTATAAAACCACTGGCACTTTCTTTGAAGCATTCCCTGGTCCTTCTTTCATAGGCTTTGAAGAGTTACAGCCCTTGTTTGTGTTCTGATTGATTAAACAGACATTAGATTATACAAAATTTATTTTGGTTCATTCGCAAAGGAAGCTATATTTTTTTAGCTTATAAACACACTCTTGAACCAACTAGTACCAACAAGTGTAAAGTTTCCAGCTCAAGGAAACAACGGCTTCTCCATGACAGGGTTTGAAACCCATGTGGCCGGCAATCCTTAGTTTACCAGTCTGAGTTGTTAACCATTTGGCCTTGCCTCCAGTATTATATCTGGAATGAAATTTTGATTATCAAAGTCTATGATAGCTATTTTTACATAAAGAAATTCTTAAACTTTTTTAGATATATTAACTCTAGTGAGTGCAGTTAGTGTATATATGTATATATTTATTGGATGAATTTTCTGCCATTTTTCAGTTCCAGTCATGTACACTCAAGATACGACCTTTTAGTATGGTTTGAGATCTGTGAGCTGGCGCCAAATGGAGAGTAAGTGATTATATATTTTTAAAGAAAAAGTTCAGCAATGTTGAATAGTTCAGCAACGCTTATTTTGGAAAGTATAAATTTGCCAAAATGAAGATATACACCATGTGTGACAGGTTCTAAACTTTGTGGTTCTTTACATAATTTTTACAGTATTTACTGTAAAATGAACAAAACAAAGTTTCAATTGATATGTGGGATTTTATATGGGCATATGTTATATGTGAGATTTTATACATATATTTGGGATATGCTATATGTGGGATATTTTATATGTGGGATATGTTATATGTGAGATTTTATATGTGGGATTTTATATGTGGATTTTATATGTGGATTTTATATGTGGGATTTTATATGTGGATTTTATATGTGGGATTTTATATGTGAGATTTTATATGTGGGATTTTATATGTGGATTTTATACATGTACCTGACATATGTTATATGTGGGATTTTATATGTGATATGTTATATTTGGGATTTTATATTTGCAATATGTTATATGTGAGATTTTACATGTGGCATATGTTATATGTGAGATTTTATATGTGGAACATGTTTTATAAGGGATTTTATTTGTGAGATTTTATATGTGGGATATGTTATATGTGGTATTTTATTTGTGAGATTTTATATGTGGGATATGTTATATGTGGTATTATATATGTGATATGTTATATTTGAGATTTTATATGTGGGATATATTATATGTGGTATTTTATATGTGATAGGTTATATGCAGTATATTTTGTTTCAGGTACGTTCCAGCAGTAGTTGACCACAGTGATGGTATGCCATGTTCCGGTACATACATGTTACATCAAGGCATACAGCGGCGATTAGCCATCACTATCACTCATGAACAAGGACCCGATTTCTTCTGGAAGGACGTTAAAGAACTTGTTGTCGGTGAGTATCATTTGGTTGTGAAGGAGTTAATCCTTGTTTTTTGTGCTTAATTTACTTCAGATTTGAAACTTTACAATGTAATTTTAAAAGGGATTCCACTGATGCTTTTTGATATGCATGATTGAAAAGTGTACCTTTTGATGTATAAAGTATAGACTAATAACTGCAAAATTTTAGATCGGCCATTTGGTCCATTTTTTTCCAGAATAATCATGTTGTGATAAAAGACCCAATTTTAAGTCTTTAAAAGCTTTTAGCCCAAATGGACTATGACTGGCAATATGGTTTGCAATTTAATTTTGAGTACATGTATAATTCTTTGTTATCTTTTGCATATCTTTCCATTTAGAATAACCCAGCAGATCTATGAAGGAATTCAAACTTTATGTTATTAGGCTTTTTGACCTAAATGGAGAGTTCCATTAATTTCAAAATAGAAAAAAAAGCTGCCTACTTTATACAGTCTGGCTACACTGTCTGGCTTTGTAACAATTTGTACATGGTATTGAAACTTCAATAAATGAAGTTGTATTATTTAGAATTTTGACAGTAATATATTAATCTAAATAATATTAACCAGACTTCATTTTATTAGCTCGACTATTCGAAGAATATGAGAGCTATTGTAGTCGCGTCGGCGTCAGCGTCAGCGTCCGCGTCGGCGTCTGCGTTGGTTAAAGTTTTTTGTAAAGTCAAATATCTCAATTATTGCTTGAGATATTCAATTGAAACTTACAATACTTATTTATAGTAACAAGGTACATCAGATTGACAAGTTGGATAACTCTGCCTACAATATTGACAGAATTATGCCCCTTTTTAACTTAGAAATTTTGGTTAAAGTTTTTTGTAAAGTCAAATATCTCAATTATTGCTTGAGATATTCAATTGAAACTTACAATACTTATTTATAGTAACAAGGTACATCAGATTGACAAGTTGGATAACTCTGCCTACAATATTGACAGAATAATGCCCCTTTTTAAACTTAGAAATTTTGGTTAAAGTTTTTTGTAAAGTCAAATATCTCAATTATTGCTTGAGATATTCAATTGAAACTTACAATACTTATTTATAGTAACAATGTACATCAGATTGACAAGTTGGATAACTCTACCTACCATATTGACAGAATTATGCCCCCTTTGGAACTTAGAAATTTTGGTTAAAGTTTTTTTTAAAGTCAAATATCTCAATTATTGCTTGAGATATTCAATTGAAATTTAAAATACTTATTTATAGTAACAATGTACATCAGTTTGCAAAATTGCATAACTCTGTCTGCAATATTTGCAGAATTATTTGCCCCTTTGAAACTTAGAAATTTTGGTTAAAGGTTAACGGTCTTCAAAGATATTTACTTGAAACTTTACACAGGCACTTAGGGTCATAATTGGAGGGTCATAATTGTATGTCACTGACCAAGTTCCATAACTCTATCTTGCATTAAGGCTTATTCATATCCCCTTTTCTACTTAGTCTCTTGGTTAATGTTTACATGCAAGTTTTACATATCTCAATAACTATTCAAGATATTTATCTAAAACTTCACATATGCATTTAGGGTCATAATTGTAGGTCACTGACAAAGATTCATAATTCAATCTTGCATTTAGGCTGATTTTTCTCCCCTTTTTCAACTTAGAAATTCATGGTAAAGTTTTGCTTTTAAGCTGTTATCTCAATAACTACTGAAGGGTTTGTGCCTTTTTTGGGACAATTTTATGCATTCATAATAATAAAGCAGTGATTTACTTGATAAAACATCTTAATAACAAGCCTTTGTACCTTTTCTGTCAAATTTATGTATTCATAGGTAATTAGTATTATTATACTCAATAAAAAAAACCTTGTGACATTACCTTCCGAATAGTCAAGCCAATTCTGTATAATTAGACTCTCTGTAAGGCCTATAACATGAATTTATAAAAAAAAATTAGCGCTTTTGTGAACTTAAAAAATTTAACATTATCAAGGCTCTTTTACTATCAAGCACTTAGAATAGTCGAGCATGCTGTCCTACAGACAGCTCTTGTTCATTGCCTATTTACATAATTTGATCAGCCTCTTCTATAGTTAATGAATTGACATTTTACTGTATTCAAGCATGTTTACAATAAATCATTTATCGTAACAGGACGTATTAGAACCACGCCAGATTTTCGTGACTACGACACAGAGCACACAGTTTTATCACTTGGCCTATTCCCTGCATGTTATATACAGCAACCGACAGATGATCGGGTGTTCTTTCGTTTCGAGGCAGCCTGGGATAGTTCACTTCACAACTCGCCGCTGCTGAACCGAGTGACGTCCTCCGGAGAGAGAATCTACCTTACAATGTCTGCGTATCTTGAGGTACGGCTATCATTTTATGTTTTATAATCTTTGCAGTTTTTAATGTGTAGTAATTTAAGAAAATATAACATTTAAGCTAGATAAATGAAAGACTCTATGGAAATAAGAATCACGATGCTTCGCTTAATACATAATTTTACGAAAATATTTGAGCCGCGTCACGACAATACCAACATAATGGGTTTGTGACCAGCATGGATCCAGACCAGCCTGCGCATCCGCGCAGTCTGATCAGGATCCATGCTGTTTGCTATCAGTTTCTCTACTTGTTATAGGGTTTGTAAGTGAACAGCATGGATCCTGATCAGACTGCGTAGATGCGCAGGCTGGTCTGGATCCATGCTGGTCGCAAACCCATTATGTTGGTTTTGTCGTGACGCGGCTCATTTATAATCTTTAATAATTTCAGCCGCTTTGTGAGGGTTATATAAGAAATTGAAAATATTGTAAAGGTTTTTCTTACAATTATAGGTTGATAATAGTCCACAGCCAGCTTGTATTACCAAAGACCTGTGTATGGTCATACACTCTAGAGATACCAAAATATCTGCTTCCAAGTAAGTCACTTTTATCCATCTATATAATAGGTTATAATTTAAAGATTTTTGACAGGTTATATGGCCCTTTTATTTATTATTCTGCAAGTTTGAAACATCGTTTTCCGTTGGATAATCGTGACGTTTATATAATCTATATACACAACTGCTGTCCATTTATGGGTTAATTCCATTTTTTTTCTTTAATAAAGAAAGTTTGCAGTATTATAACTTTGTTAGAAAGATTGTTGACATGTTATATGGCAGTATATTCTATTATGTCACTTGGTTTCATGTAATATGAATTATAATGTAATAATTTTTGTTCTCAAAATGCCATTTGGTAACTACCCTTGTTGTTTGATTTACATATTCTGTCACCTGATTGTTATGATACAATAAATAACAAGAGTTGGTAAAAAAGGGTGGGGCATCTTAATAGAAGGGAAATGAGATGAGGGTGAGAGGAATCAGAGTTTGTGTTAGGGGGAGGGGGGCATGAATGGATTGAAATTGGAGTAAAAGGATTGCACAAACAGAGTGAATGGCAGTTATAATAGGTGTTGATTAGGGGAAGAAAGAATGTATAGAAAAGAAAGGAAAGAAGGATTCATAATGTAAAATATATCTAATTTGATGTAAACATGATGATACTCATGGCAAAATTTTATAAAGGGAGGAAAGTCAAAACTAAAAAATATTTAAAATTTTTCATAATTTATACAACCAGTAAATAACATGACTTTGTACATTTACAGCAAAATGTAATCATGAGTCAAATATCACACAGAATATGTACGTCTAACAATGACAAAGGGTTCATGTTTTTTGTCTCTTATTACAGTAGTCCTTTCAGGTCACTCCGGAGTTTCTTTGGTAGTGGGTCCAAATCTTCTGACTGTAACCGGGTCAGCGGAATTTATGAGATGTATTTACGTCAGATGTCGGAGTCAGGTAGTCCAGGTTTGTGGAAACATTTATGCTTTTATCTTCTGTCTGCAGCTGCGTAGATAGGCCTGAAAAGAAATGTCTGTTGCTGTTGTTTTTTTTTGTGTGAAGATTATGATTTAAGATAGACTCGCGTCTTATAAGAGATGCGTAATTATAAGTGAGTTATTACAACATTTTTTGATTATGGTATAAATTTGATGTTAAGAGACAGTCTCTTTATGTTGTATAGCGTAAATATTTAACTTTTTTTCTTGTTTTGTTTCAAAATAAATGGGTGCTTTTGTAAAAACAGGTTCCTTAGGTTCTAGACTTTAATTTTTTCATGTATTGAGAAAAATAAAATAATTATTTACTAAAGAAAAATTTCTGGTTTATATGGAAATAAGATTTAATACACAAAAGGGTTAACAGAGAAATAAACCACTAAATAGACTATCAGCAGAAGACATTTGTTTTAAACTGGCCTTAGAGTTTTCATATTTCACCAAAGTACACTGTTAAAAGAATACCCCACCCATCTCCCTCTGACAATAATTTTTACACTTTTCTAAAACATATTGAAGAAAAGTTGTTGTTTTTTCTGGCCATTATCGAACATTTATGGAATCAGTGCTTTGTATAAATGAAGAATTGCGGTGGGGTATTTGGTCTGGTGTGCAGTATATTTGCTGATTTATTTACATTTTGTTTTCGCTGCAGCATCACTGTTATTACTGAAGTATGCAGTAATTTTTAACCTTTAACCTGTTGAATTTCTGTAATGAATATGTCCCGCTTTGTATTTGGAAGAGTCCATTTCAGTTTTAAGGGATTTCAATAACAAAATACAAAACTTGAGCTACCGGAAGTATAGAGCTTGGTCAGACTGCACAGAAGTGGAGACTGGCCTGGCTGTATTCTGGTGGCCAAAGCTAGTGGTTCATGCAAGTTATGGGTTTAAGTCTTACTTTTGTTATTAACTCACATTTAAAATTAATAAAGTATGAGCACAGATAATTATGTTTATAACATAGATTATATTGTAGTAATTTATTTAGAAAATGTAATCAAAATGTATTGTTTGTAGTCAATGACAGGGTGGGTATACTGGCTTATTTAAAGAACAATGTACAGTCAAACCTGTGTTTAAAGACCACCTCTGAATAAGGATAACCCTGTTATAAAAGGCCTTTTAATAACCCTACAAAATGGAATACAGGAACCTCCAAATGAAGACCACTTGTTTATAAAGGCCTTATTTTATCTCTAACTTTGGTGGTCTTAAGTTCTAAGGTTTGACTGTAACTTGAAGACATTATGCAGATATAGCACTTTTAGCTGGTGTATAAGAAATGATGTGTCTTGAGAAAGAAATATAGACCATGGTGATGTTTTATTGTAAAATCTCTAAATAGCTTAGTCAACTTAATGCACTTATTTTGGAGATTGAATTTGTAGTTTGTAAGTTTGTTTGTACCTCTAGATTAGCCAGGAAAACTGAAAATATTCTTAATACTGGAGAAAGTCTATTTGTAACTGGTCATCATTTCTGCTTTGTGAGCATAACAAATGTGAAACAATTGTATTTAAAATTATTTCTATAGTCCAGACAAGATTCTAGATAAGGTTATTTTCTTCCAGACAGGAGTTAATTGTGTAAGTGTTTGTAGGAAATTGTAAGTTGACTTACATGACCCTGAAGCATTCTTGTTAGGTCAGGTTGTTTAGAGATGTATATTGGATGCAAACCCCCTCGGCCTATTAGGACAAAGTAACCAAATGCTGGATAGCATATTTATTATGCAGCCTGTGACACTGAAGAAAATCTTCCATATGAATTGAGTAGTTATGGTAATTGTGCATAATTATGGGATAAATTGATGTTAAATGGCCGTAATTTACAAGAAATAAACCCTGTCTTGTAGTTTGGTAGAGTAATGTTGGATAAGTAGTCAGTCACTTGCAGAGAAATTGGATAATTATCGGTTACTAATAAAAAAAAATGATCAGGTAGACCGGCTGCTAATATAACTAAAAATTTGTTGAAATAGCCATTAAAACAAGACAAATGACAATTTGGTTGGGTAGGTTAAAAATCTGAACGATATGAATAGGAATTATGTAGTTATGATATTAGAGATTTGGACAACAAAAATTTTGCTTGCTTTTTTTATTCAAGTGCACATGGTATATGAGCCGCGTCACGTCAAAACCAACATAATGGATTTGCAACCAGCATGGATCCAGACCAGCCTGCGCATCTACGCAGTCTGATCAGGATCCATGCTGTTTGCTTAGTTACAAACCCTATTACAAGTAGAGAAACTGATAGCGAACAGCATGGATCCTGATCAGACTGCGCGGAGGCGCAGGATGGTCTGGATCCATGCTGGTCGCAAACCCACTATGTTGGTTTTGTCATGAACCGGCTCATATAATGGCTTTTGATGGTACACTGTACTAGGTAAATGTGGTATTTATGTATGAAGTATACAAGCATGATTAAGTTTAGATAAAAAGTATTGCACAAAATTTATCTTTGGTTTTGATTTATCTACTAACTTTAATCGTATAATAATTACAGTGTTTTAATAATTATTATATTCAATCAATATTTTCCAATTTTTCAAGTTCAGCGTCCAATATTTATTGAAATATCTGAACCAGATGCTGTAATTTAGAAGCCAATGTTTAAAAGTCACTGAGGATCTTATAAAAATTAATATTTTCATGATTGAAGTTATAAAAGCAATTACAGTAATGAAAAAAAAAACTATTTTAAAGAGTTATTCATTGTCTGACTTTATATTTCATTCAATAATGCTATATTAAAGCTTATTTGATATGGTTTAGTATAAGATCATCAATTTACCAGAAAGTGGGTTTTTGATAAACATATAATTCAAAAATTTATGAAGCACGGACAACGTATGTACATGAATAAATAAGACAATGGAAAAGAATGAGATAGGGTATTAAGTGGGGTTTTTTTTTGGTTTTTTTTTTTGTATTTAGAAAAGCACAGTGACTGGATCTTTGTTAATAGTTATGAATATGAAATAATGATTATAAAACTTGACACAAACAGGTGTTCAGAGACGTCAGCGTAGAGTATTAGATACGTCATCTACGTATGTGCGAGGTGAGGAGAACTTGAACGGGTGGCGCCCTCGAGGAGATTCTCTCCTCATCGATCATCAATGGGAACTGGAAAAACTTACACGTCTTGAAATGGTACGTACTACTAATAGGCTAGATAGTGATTTACTGTTGACCTTGATTTATATATTTATAATTTATAATGAAAAAGCAATCCAAAATATACAAATATTTTTATATTTTCTTAAAAGTAGTGACTTACTAGTGGACAGTTCAGACCATGATCAGATGGAATGGATGTCCCAAGTAAACTTGGTGTTCACTTGGCGTATGGGCGTAAAGGTTAAGGAGGAGGTCCACTCTGTTTATTGCAGTAATTGGAGTTTAAATGACACAAACTAGTGTGATATTTGAATTTATGTGAATGAATATTTTTCTTAATCATGGACCATTCTATGTATTTGTTTGTAAACCTACAGGTGGAGAAATGTAGGCACGTTCTACTGTTACGTGAAAAATTAGCTGAGCAAAACAAGACTCAAGAATTGAGTAAAATGGACAAAGAAGTTACAAATATGAGTAAAAAAGCACAGCAAGCTAAGCTTGAAAAGGTGGAGGAAATTAAAGAAAAGTTGGACGAGATTGTTACCGAGAAAGAGGACGATACTACAGAGAAGAATAAATTTGCCGTTAGACGTGACAATAGTTATTTTAGCTTCCAGACCAACGGGGAACCAGAGAAAGAATTGGCGGCAAAATGTCTTCGTTTAATTTTACAGGGTCGTCTACCACCAAACCAGCCATCATCAGTAAAAGTATGTGTATTTGTTTCTTTTTTTTTTCTTTATTTGTGTGTTTCATTCAGATTATTAAATTTATGATAACTATGAACCCGTTGAACAATTTTTCACATGCTCAAAAGCAGAAAATGCCTCAGAAATCAATGATTTTTTTTAATTCTTAAGAAAGGTCTAATAACGCTTTTATTAATGATTATTTTTGAACATATTGGATATTTGACAACTGAAGAAAATGGCGCTGAATGTGCAGTAATGTGTTGTAAAGGTAGCAAAGTGTAATTTTGACTTCCATACAAAATACTTATCACCCAAAGAAAGGAGTGTTGAATGTGTAATTATTTGTCACAAAAGTTAGCAAAATGAAACAAAGTTGTATTGTGAATTCCATACAAAATATTAAATCACTATTACAATACCAATTGCCAAGGAACAAAAGAGCAAGAGTTTATCTATATAGCCAATGAGTAACTTTATTGGCAACTGTAGCAAGATTACAAAAAATAAAAAAATTCTTAAGAAATGAAAAAATATACTGACGGGTTGTTTTTAATAAGCTTCACCAATGACGAAATTTTCCTATTTTTTTAGACACCAATGACAGAGTCTGTGATTAGTACAGTATCATCTACTGACAGTGATTCTACAGCAAACAGCGAGTCCATGATGTCCAGTATGGTCTCTTCTTCCTCAGAAATGTTCAAGTAAGTATCATTACACTTTATGCAAGTTTATTGATTTTCTAAAGACAATATAAACACACTTTTACATATTTTACATACTATGCCCTGTGTATTGGAATTTTAGGATGATGGATTATGCCATGTGTATTGTAATTTTTGAAAGATGCATTATGCTCTGTGTATTGGAATTTTAGGATGCATTATTCCCTGTGTATTGTAATTTTTGAAGGATGCTTTATTCCCTGAGTATTGGAATTTTAAAAGAATGCATTATGCCCTGTGTATTGCAATTTTAGATTAATGCAATATGCCCTGAGTATTAGAATTTTAGAGAGATGCATTATGCCCTATGTATTGGTATTTAAGGATGCATTACTCCCTGTGTATTGGAATTTTAGATAGGTGTATTGGAATTTTAAAAGGATGCATTATGCCCTGTGTATTGGAATTTAAGGATGTGTTATGCCCTGTGTATTAGAACTTTAATGCTTGTGTTTTGGGATTTTAGAAGAATGCATTATGCCCTGTTTATTGGAATTTTAGGAAGATGTGTTATTCCCTGTGTATTGGAATTTTAAAATGGTTGCATTATGCCCTGTATATTGGAATTTTAGAAGGATGCATTATGCCCTGTGTATTGGAATTTAGAAAAATGCTTGTGTTTTGAAATTTTAGAAGGATGCGTTTTGCCCTGTTTATTGGAATTTTAGGAAGATGCATTATGCCCTTGTATGTAGGAATTTTAGAAGATGCATTATGTCCTGTGTATTTGAATATTAGGATGATGTATTATGCCATATATGTTGTAATTTTAGACGGATGCATATTTTTATGCAGATTGAATAAAGAACGGTTCCTGCATTTTTCAGGTCCATGAATTCTGAAACCCCAGTCAAAACGTCAAAATCATCTGATAATCTAACCAACTCGATGGCGTCCGGTGTCTCGGACAGCACCGACAGAAGATTAACACTGCCAATAAAGAGTATACGACCAGATCAGGATATTATAGTATTTGCACCTGATGTAGAAGAAGTACGAGTCAGTCCGGTTGTGGCCAGGAAAGGGTATCTGAACTTCCTAGATGAAAAATCTAATGGATGGATCAGAAAATGGGTGGTAAGTATTCATTTTAAAATCAGAAGTCTGTAGTGAAAAAAGTTGAATTTAAAAATCAATATATGTAGTAAGAACTTAAAGACTAAACTTCAGTATTTTTTGTAAGATCTGTGGGTTAAATCCTAACAGGGAAGTTTGATTCTCAGTTGTTGGAAAGGCAACTAGCTTGATAATGAATTATTGATAGTTCTACTCAGAAGTTCTACTTAAATTTCCTGAAATAATGCAGAGAGTGACTTTTTTCTTCCTCTTGCAATAAAACCGGAAAGTCGCTATTAGACTTTAAAATTTACCCACCTGTGACCACCACCCACAAACACAGAAACACCTCACCCTCTCAGAAACACGGAAACAAAAAGCCAGTGGTCCCATGGAGGTCTCTGTATTCAAATATATGCAATGTTGTACAGAGTGACACCTGAGGTCTTCCAGTAGCAGTTAAAATAGAATTTAACCATATATGGAAGGTTACCATACAACTTAAGTGTTAATGCAACTTACTGACTTGTATCATGAGAATATCCTAGAATCACTTAAATCAACTTGATTGTTTTATTGTCAACTTGATTGTTTTATTGTCAACAGGATTGTTTTATTGTAACAGGTTGTTAGAGGTCCATTTGTATTTATCTACAAATGACAATTCAATTGTTTATTGTAACAGGTTGTTAGACGTCCATTTGTATTTATCTACAACTCTGATAAGGATCCGATGGAGCGTGGAGCAATCAATCTTACCACGGCACAGATTGAGTACAGTGAAGACCAACAGTCATTGCTTAAGGTATGATGAATTTTTTCACCTCTGTAGGTTTAATGTCATTCTTTTATGTGAGGAAGCTATTTTTGTCTGGGTAGAAATATTCATAAGCATTTTGTTTTGCATTTTTTCAGACAAGAATAAGAAATAAGCATTTTGCTACACATTTCTCAAGCATTTTGTTATATTTTTCAGGTAAGAATAAAAAATAAGCATTTTGCTACACATTTCTCAAGCATTTTGATATGTTTTTTCAGGCAAGAATAAGAAATAAGCATTTTCCTACACATTTCTCAAGCATTTTGTTATGTTTTTTCAGGCAAGAATAAGAAATAAGGATTTTGCTACACCTTTTTCAAGCATTTTGTAATGTTTTTTCAGGCAAGAAACACATTCTCTGTATTGACTCGTTACCGAGGTTTCCTCTTACAGACACCAGATGATAAAGAATTCCATGACTGGCTTTATGCCATCAACCCTCTACTGGCTGGTCAGATAAGGTATAAATCTTTTTGTCAAACTTTTAAAGCTTCTTTCAAACAAGTTGTGGCATGGCCGAAGTTGTGAACATGTCAGACTTGTAATCTAAGGACTGCTGGCCGCATGGGTTCAAACCTGTCAGGGGTAAACTGTTTGTTTCCATGAGGAAGAAACATTAACACTCATTGCTTTGTACTGGTAGGTTCCAGGAAAAAATTGGAGAGTGTTTCAATAAGCTTATAGCTTCCAATACAAACTAAAATAAATTTGTGTAAACTAAAGCGACTTTTAAGGTCATGATTTATTCCAAGTTTTAATAAATAAATCCCACTGTAGTAAACACCAAATGCACCTTGCTACCTTGTGATGGAAGTGTTTGGTAAATATTAACATGTAATGAAGGACAATGTGTATTTTTACTTTAAAGGGACTCCACTGAGGTTTTTATGACATAATGGGACGGGAAATTTTTTCTAAGATTTGTGTACCATTTGATGTAGGTCTGACCCAATAACTTGTGTGCAAATTTTCAGATCATTCCCTCCCCCATTTCTCCAGAATAATAACTTTTATTGTGCAAAATGAACCAAAATTTAAGTGTTGCAACGCTTTTTGCTAAAATCAGGCTAAGAATGGCTCTTACAATCAATTTTCAATTTAATTCTGAGTATATCTCTTTTTTAATCCTTTATCTCTTTTTTAATCCTTCGCATACATTTCCATTGTAAGTGCTCCACATGATCTTTTGTAAGAATTTCAGTTATATGTTTTAGGCTTATGACCTCAGTGGAGCTCCTTTAATAGTCGGTAAATACATATATTTTTGTAACAAGGCCATAAGGAGATGGATACTACACTACAAAATCATGGTTAGTAATACATGTACAATGTTCCTGTTTCTGGTTTGGCAAAATACCAACATGATCTGCTGAATTTGTCTAAATAGATTTGCCCTGCTTTTAATATGGATCAATCCATTTGAAAGTTTAGGGATTTCATTATCTAAATACTGATTTACCAACAGTATAGAGTCTTGTCAAGACTGCGCAAATGTGCAAACAAGCTTGACTCTGTACTGGTAGCAAATAGTGATTATTATTTTACTCTTGCGGGATAAGGGTTAAACAGGCAGTTTTGATTTTTTTCATTTCAGGTCCAAGCTAGCCAGAAGAAAGCAAGTTCCAATTTAAGCCATTGACAAAAAAAAACTGTTTTGATATTTCTTCTCAAAAAGATTTTGATGTACATTTTTAAATGTTGTCAGTTGACCTTGAACTTCATGTATCAAAGAAACCACTACTCACGAAAATGCAATAATAAGAAGACAAACATTTTGAATTGTGATACTAAACCATTAGAAATCTCACTGGATAAACACCCGGAAAATCCCCAAATCTCTGTGCAATAATTGATCACCCTTCTCAGTTGAAACAAATTTTGACAAAGGGAGGTAACTAAAAACAGAAAAAAATAATAAAGGGACATAACCTCTCACTCAATTTGTACCAGTCAAAAGAAAGGGAGGCAATCAATACTAAGATGAACAACAAGGGAGGTTACTGAGATTATGTATACCTGAGGACAGAATATCAACTTACAAAAAAGATATTTTGCTACATATATTTATTTAGCATTTTCAGCTTAAGTATGGTATAATTATAATAAGTATTGTTATGTATTTTATTCACATCATTCCAAAATAGTCATATTATTGCATATTCATTAGATGTATAACTCATTAGTATGCATAAGTCATATTGCCTCATGCATATTCATATAAAATTAAGGAGTCCTGCTATGATATTTATAGTAATTTATTAATTATTTATTAGCAATGTTTGGTTGTGTTGGGTATGTATTTCCAAGGCATTATTTGAAAGAGTTTTTTTTATTCATGACATAAGTTGTACTGGTTATTTTAGCTACATCCAGTCTCATCTAGTCACATGATTTACAAAGTGCTAACAAATCTTTAAAATGTTCAAATATATAATTAAAAGTTTGCATATTAGATTGATTGATTCAGTGTTGGGACCGATATAGGTTAGATAATTTTGATGTAGATAGTCTATTGATGGGTGTTAAGAGCCTGAAAAGTACTTTTGAAGCAAGTTTGAAAAATGTTGACCAGTCTGACTACAGATTTGAAATTGGCCAATGATGGAGCATTATTTCTAGACTGGTTGTGACTGCTTCTAAAAAGTTAAGCAGTTTTGTTTTGTTTTTGAAAAAAAAATGTGTTGACCAGTCTGGAATCCCTGTTTTTTGATTGGTTGAACCTGATCATAAGATTTGAAATTGGCCAATGAAGCATTTTTTCTAGACTGGTTGTGACTGCTAATAAAACATTGCAAATATTCCAGTAGCAGAAGACAAAGATTTGAGTGACTGGTAAAGAAGTATATGAATGCAGAAAGGAAGAGTCTTTATTCTGGTGCTAAGATTTGACTTTATGGAGTCAAAAATAAGGTCTAGGCCACTCCCAAAATCTACAAAAGAAATATTCATTTAATTTATAACCATGTTAGAAGACACATATACATAGAAATTATACATATTTAAATACACAACATTGTTACACACCATACCTGCATAATTTATGTAATCCAGATACATTATGTGCAATATTGTTACATATGTGTAGTGAAATATCATTATTTTATCATGTGTATGAGTAGAGATACAAAATGTGATTTACATGTGCATGGCATATGTGACGAACACGTGACTATATTAATTAGAAAGGTGTGGCACTTATCTGACATCTTTATTAAAGTATCGGTTAAATGTTTATTAAGGAAATTTTTAAACCTTATTAAAGATATGTGTAAATGTCTATTAAAGTAAATCTGTTAAATGTGAAAATGTTTATTATAGTAAATGTGAAAACATTTATTATAGTAAATGTGAAAATGTTTATTAAAGGAAACGTGAAAATGTTTATTAAAGTAAACGTAAAAATGTTAATTAAAGTAATGTGAATTTGTTTATTAAAATAAACATGAAAATGTTTATTTAAGAAACTGTGAAAATGTTTATTAAAGTAAATGTGAAAATGTTTATAAAAGCAGAGATGTAGTTATCTATGTCTCTGATAAAAGTAATACATGTAGTGTGAAAAAATGTTTATTAAAGTATTTTGGAAAAGTGTATTAAGGTAATAGTGTAAAAATGTTTATTAAAGTAAATAGGAAAAATGTTTATTTAAGTGAAAGGGTAAAAGCTCATAAACATTTGATGAAATAGATGTGATAGAGATATTTCTGTCCAAAAGTTTTTTTTTTTCCTAGATAAAATCTGTTTAAAAAAACATCTATGAAATTTCAAGATTCTGTATTGGAGGCCAATGTTCAAAATTATTCATTTTTGTTCTGTTCAAAATTAACTGCATGCTAGTAATATATGTTATATTAAATTTATGCTAAACTATAAAACACTTAAGGAGATAGAAATAAGAGATTGACCAAAATATGCTGGTTCAAATGTTTCATGTATAAACAAAAGTAAATGTCAGAATTTTGTATTTTTGGCTTATGAAAATTGTCAGAATTTTACATTTTTGACTAATGAAAATTGTCAGAATTTGGTTTTTTTGGCGATTGCAAATTTGTCAGGTTTTGGCTTCTTTTTTTTTGGCTAATGAAAATTAGCAGAATTTCACATTTTTGGTTTACAATTATTGTCAGAATTTTGACAATTTTTTGCCAACAAATTCAAAAATTAAGGGAGTTAAATAATTGTAAAAAAAACTCAGCTTTATGAATTATACAATGATTTAATTAAATCTGTGATAAATTTTGAATGTGTTTGAGTTGCCTACTTGTATGCTATTATTATCAGGAAATGAATTGTTATTACAATTATGATTGACAGTTTTTTTCTTCTGACAAATGAATATTGTCAGAAGTGATCTTTCATACCAGATGAATATTGTCAGAATTTGACATTTGCTAACAAATGATTATTTACTGAATTTGGCATTTTTGGCTAATGAATATTGTCAGATTTTAGCTTCTTTATAGAATGAATATTGTCAGATTTTTGCTTTCATGCCAAATGAATATTGTCAGAATTTGGTGTTTATTAAACCAGAAGGATATTGTCTGAAATATTTACTGGTAGTACTACTAAAACATTTTGTTTTTGACAAATGAATAATATGAAAAAAAATCTTCTGACAAATGAACATTGTCAAGAAAATTCTGACAAATAGATTGACACAAATTTATTTTTTCCTGACAAGTCAGTATAGCCAATATTCGATTCTAGAGCTTTTTTTAAAATGGAAATAATAACAGTGTTACATACTATGTGAAATCTATAGATGTAGACTGGCAAAACAATAAAATTCTGTTTAAGAAATTTTTTAAACTTTTAATTTTTACTGTATATGAGTGAAATCATTTGAATATGTGTGACCATGTGTAAAATATATGTTACTTAATATGTATGTTAATTACTTGTATTATTCCTTGATAATATTGTGATTTTTTTTTTTCTCATATCACATCACGTTCATTGTTAAATCATTTCAAGTTTTCAAATTGATTCATATTGTAAATGTATATGTAGGCTTTAAATGTTCTTCCTTGCTTTAATGAATGGTTGGCATACATAGTTTTCTTTTTAAAGGTGTGAATGGAAATGTACCAAATTGATTTTTAGCTAATGTTAAATTTACCATTATATCAGGTTATTTATAAAATTGTTTTGAGTTTTCACAAATTTATATTTCCCTCCGCAAATTACAATTGTTTCTTTTTAAAAATGTGGGTCCATTCCAATGAATATTTTTTTCTTTCTGTCAGAAAGGTTCTACTGCACCAGACTATTTTTAAATTTAATAATTTTTAAAACAAATTGCCCCCCCCCCCCATTCAGATTCTCAACCCCCCTCCAGACTGTCTTTCTCCTTTTCTCTCCTCTCTCACTCTGCAACATTCTATCTATTTCATTATGGGAATTTATGGAATTTAATAAAATTATGGGAATTTATGGAATTTAATAAATTTATTCTCACTGGGCAGTATTGTTACTTCTTATCTTTATTAACATTTTGTGTTTAAACAAAGATGTCTTTCTCTTTTCTTTCTTACAACTAACTTACTGGTATTTCTTTACAGCATAAAGTTTTGTTTCCAATTTCGATTCCAAATTAAAAACTTTATGATCTAAGGAGTTTCAAATGTGTGAACGTTTACCAAAATTGTTGACTCTTGATATTAAATGCTTTTTCGGGTTTTGTTTTTTCTTTTTTTACCAGCAGTTTTTATAATTTGCAGTGCCTAGCTTGTTAACAGATATACAAATGTACAACTATGAAATTAAGAGTGTTAATAGAAAAGTGACAGTGCGTCATATGCCATTATTTGTGCAATATATTTTGTCATTTTATGTTATGTAATATTACTATAGTATACTTTATAGCCTTGATAATCATTATGTTAGGTTATTGTACTCAGTAAACAGCACTTCCAATATTTTTTCATAATCACATAAAAATGCCATAGGAACACAAATTATGCCCAGTAATGTCTATTTCCAATACAAATTGACTTTTTTTGCTAATTTCTATAATTTTAAACATGCTTAAACCAGCAGGGTTTATTATTCACTACAATACATTTTTCTTTTGTAACACAAAGTTAAATTTATATAGAAGTCACACATATAAAGAAAATCAATATGACATCTGTTTTTAATACTTAACAAGCAACCAATTTCCTGTTGTGGGAAGGAAACCATTTAAAAGATTTATTCACTTCATGGACATGCTTATAAGTCGGGGCTCTTAAAAAGTACCATAGAATAAGAGCAAGAAATATAGTCTTCTATGTGAATAAATACATGATATTGAAAATATACTGTTGAGAATTACATGCAAGCCTATACATCTGGATACTTGCAAAGAAATTGTGTGATGAAGACCTTTTGAAGTTTGTATCAACTAAAGGAAAAATGTTTTAATCTATGAAACAGTTTTATCCTTTATCAAAATGGTAGCACAATTGTTTTGTTGTTTAGGGTTTTTTCAATGAAGACAAGGTCATTTTACTAATAATTACAGAAGCATATGAAGAAAGTTTATTTCATTTTTAAAAGTAATTTTTGTGGAACAGTTACTAGTATTGGATTTATTCATCTATTTCATTTTTAAAAGTAAATTTTTTGTAACAGTTACTTGTTTTGGATTTATTCATCTTTTATTATTGGTTAATTCAAGTTTATGATATTCCACATTGGTATTTGAGAGGTATTTTATGGCAGCTTTATCCCAAAGTTTGTAACTGCAAGACAGCATGTTTTAAAACGATTTATTTAATGGACCACCCTACCACACCCACTTATGTTATTATTAAGATTTTTTTTTTCAGTGACCAATATATTAAGATGTAGTTATTCAATAAGCATGAGTATTTGATGAGATAATAGGCAAGCATAAATACCTGGATTCTTGCAGATGAACGGTGTGTAATACATGAACATGTGCTGAGGTTATTGTATATGAAATTTGAATATGGCTACCTGCGCAACAACCCACTCAGGCTTTTTTTTTAGTGTTAATATATTAGAATTTTTTTGCTTGGGTCACAGTTTGTTAGTATGATAGAATCTTTTTCCCCTACGGCCACAGTTAAATGAAAATGCAAGCATAATCAGCAGTGATGGGATAGCAAGCAAGCATAAATACCTGGATTCTTGCTAATGCAACATTTTTATATACAAATATACGCTTGAAAAAAAAGGAACACTGCCACCATAGAGTTTGTTGTGGAAGCTCCATGGCTGTAGTGGTTAAGGTGGCTGGATTCGTTTCACGGACTACACTATTGTAATTCAAATCTAAAGAGGTATGAGATAAAGCTGTGCATTATGCCTACCTCTATTCAAATGCTTCTACTACAATGTATTTCTGCTATGATTGGCATATGGCCAAAGTTGAATAGTTGTCATCTATCACTTTATTCGGATTTAGATAATTAGAACATAATCAATTATTTTAAGTAAAATTTCAGTCCCAAGCGATTCGAATAATCGACTGTATATACCGTATAAACTTTTTTTTAGTTACATCTCTGTTTGTTGAGAAATATTTTCAATAGCAAAGGTTTTTTTTGTAAAATTTTAATTGCATACGTGGAAATTAAATTATGAAATTATGTTCAAAATATCTACACTTTAGTGTAGCAACGGTTAACTCGTTGGAAATTTGATAGAAGTTA